TTCAGAAAAACCAAGATTTATGGTCATGAATTTTTTTCCTAAAAAAAATCACGATGGTTTTCTAAAAAAAATTGGTCAAGAAATCCTTTGAAATTAATTTTCCTTAAATATACATCATCTCTGGTCAAAACATCCTTGAATTTTTCCTTGAAAATGTCCGCGAATTTCGCTCTAAGACCTTGTTGTTGGCCAGGAGTACTTTTAAATTATTCTCTTTTGAACGAATTTTAATTTTTGGTTAGAAGTTCTTGAAGTATTCAGGTCCAGGAACACAACAATTATATCACAATAAATGTGGACTAAATGTGTGACCTTGTTGGCGTTATACGAGGTTTATGATTTTAGCAAAGAAATCGGAATATGTATTTTATTTTTATATTGTTTTATATGACGTCATGTTTGTTGTGAAACTAGTGCTCTGTTCCAGTTCTATTCCTGCAGTTTTTTGATATCATTAAGGGAAAATCGGTTATCATAGTAAAACATTTTACATTTGTACAGTTCTAGAAGAAAAAATATACGTATTCTGAAATATGTGCTTTCCAAAACTATTTTTTCTCTGTTGCCTTAGAACTGAAATTGTACAAAAATCACTTTAAGACTGCTATGAGCGGCACCTATGAGAGAACACATTAAGCATATGGTTTTAGTCTATGCTATATGTTTCAATTTCGATTACAGGGTGTTTTAATTATATTTATTTAAGTGGTTGGAATAACGCTTCATAACAGCAATTAACGTGCACTTCTTTCACAATAAGTGTTGGTATCAAAAGGTATTATTTCATGAATAGGGACGTAAGCATGGAGAGGGTCCAGCCCCCCCCCCCCTCTTGCCCACTTCTTTTTGCCAATTTTTGTATATTTTACTTGAACTTGAAAATTTTTTGCTAGTTGGACAACCGGAAAAGGTTTTAAAATCCATTTCTAAATCAAGACACAAACATAATGATGTAGCAAAGGTATGAAATGCAGCGTATCAATAGACATGAATTGGGATTGATATCGAAAAATAAACATAGATGACAAACTCGAAAAAAAAAAACAGAGTTATTGTGGAATTTCTCTGAATCTGCAGAATAGAATCATAACACTTAACTGATTTAAAATTCATAGCGTATGTATGTTCTTACCAAATTTAGCCTTGACAGAAAACTCCTCATGGTATGGTATTATACCACATTGATAACATGAGTGATGAGGCAATCTTTGGCACGCTTATAATAAATAGCTTTTCTACGTAATATTCTTCGATTTTTACAAAGAATTTATTAATTAATTATGTTGGCGCGACCATGATGTGTTTGTTTTTATAATTATTTTCACCACATTTTTAGTAGTGGCGAAATAGTATGAATCTACATGTGACGTATTCAACATGAGTTGGCAAAAAATTGAAGTAACACCTGTTATCAGTTTAAAACGAAAAACTGGTTGGGTGTTATATTCAAATACCACTAGCAATTCTAAGAACCACACGCGCGTATTCATGTTAAAACTCGGTATTTATCAAGATTGACAAATGTTTATCTAAATTTGGTAATTCTCTCCAGTGGGTTCTCAATTCCTCTCTTGATTTTTTTCTTTTTTTTGAAGTCAGTAATACACAGAATTTAGTGTAGCAAAATAGCAATTCCTTGTAAAAGGTATCTCCCAATTCGACATCTTTAAACAGATTCGTCCAAAAAAATTATAAACACATATTGCACAGAAGTTTTATATTTTCTAACGGATCAAATTCAATAACATTACACTACAAAATAAAAAAATATAAAAAATTCTGGAATGAAAAATAAAAAAATTAAAAATTTTAACCAATTCTAGCCTGAAAAAATGCGACTGATTTTCACGGTTCACGATTTATTTCGCCTTTTATGTAAAAAATACAAAGTATCCAACGGTTACATATTCTAAAAATCTATGATTTTAGGTAAGGGCTTTTAGACTCTTGTTTTTGCCAGGAAGTTCACAAAATATTCTTACAAAGTCCAGGCTTTTGGATGTAAAGTCCATGATTTTTTTTTTTTTTTTTTTTTTTTGAAAAAATTGACAAATTTTTACAGGTCCTAAGTCCTACGAAATTTACAAGCAAATCCTAATAAAGTTAATCTGAAAACAAGAAAAATTCACATGTTTTATCAGTGAAAATGGGAAAAAAATTAAAAAAATGCACAATTTTTTGTCTGGAAAGACCGTGTAAAAATCGTCTTCAAAAATTCACTAAGACTTTTACAGGAAAGTCCTTTAATACTTTAATCCATATTAAAAATTTTCAATCCACGATTATTGTCCGATGTGCGTTTGTAACAATATTTGCTTAACATCTACATTTTTGTGTAGCTTAGAAGTCCTTGAACAGTTTTATATACAACCGAAAGTGCTTCAAAAATATTTTTATACCCTCAACCACACATAGTATGGGAGTTTCTGTCATTTCATTTGCAACTTCTTAAATGTACCCATTTTCGACCCCACAGAGTATACAGGGTGAGATAAAAAAACTGCAACAAAGTCAAACGATATAATTTTTACATTTTTTTAGATTCTATTGAATGAAAGCAATAAATGTCGGAAATAGCATCAAATTTTAGTAAAAGTTTTGATTCTTTCGAATCGGTCACCTTTGGCACGAATTATGTCCTTCAAACGGCCAATGAAACCGTCACACGCTGCCAAATATTGCTCTGCGTTATTTTGGCCCATTCCCGGTAAGCGCTTGCTTGAGGTGATCGACACTTTCGTATTTTTTAGTGCCAACCTTGCTTTCCAAAATACTCCAGACACAACAGTCCAACGGATTGGTATTCGGAGATTTTGGTGGCCATTTTGCCCTGGAAATGAAGCGAGAAACCTATTTTTGTAACAATTCTTAGTTGGCGAGTTCTGAGTCCTGTTGGAATGTCCAAGGTCTGCGACCACAATGTTTGCTTTAATACACCCTCCAGAATATTTTCGCGATAATATTCGGCATTTATTCCGATGCCACGGTCGATTAATACGAGCGGAGAGCAATAATCGGCTGTTATGGCGGCCCACACCATCATCATGGCCCGCGCTTCAGTTCTGGTGACCAACCGAAGGTGCACATTTTCAGCTGACCTCTTTGGCAAGTAAACACGATCATTTTGTTTTTGTTGTTTACAAACTGCTGGACAACGAATGTTTTCTCATCGAAGAAAACTAAATTCGGCAGTATGTTCAGCTCACGAGCCATTTTCGCCACTGCGACGCGGGTTTCGATCAAGTCGCTTCTTTACTTTTCGAACCATTTCTGCTGATGTTGCTGTTTTCTTCCGTTCACTTCCTTGACGTCGGGCTACGCTACCAGTATCACGGTAACGAGCGATGGTACGAGACACAAAAGATTTATTCACATTTAAATGCTGGAGTGCTCTAGTGATGGCCACTTGTGGTTTTCCAGCCAAATATAAAGATATCACACTGAATCACGTTTGAGGTCCATCACGAATATCTTTTGTTCTGGAAAATTCTCACCAAAATGCTTTTGTACAATTGTAAACAATATAATGAGCTGTCACAGGAATAATTTTAACAGCTGTCGGACGAGTGACTTAGAAATGACAACAGTCTAAAGTTGGTTGCATTTTTTTCGTCTCACCCTGTATATTCTTGATCAGGATTTAGCCATGTCCGTTCGTCTGTCCCTCTTTGAAAACCCCCTGACCTCCCAACTAAACGAGGATTGATACAATTTTTCTCAGGTGTGTTTTAGGTCTGCAGGACGCTCTGGCATAGACCCCATAATTTAAATGTCCCGGCAAATTTAAAGTTTTTGCGTATTTTAGTACAATTTCAAACTGAATTTTGTGTTCATTGGGAGTGTATTTTCCCAGTATGTGGGAAAAATCCATGTAATTGACTCAAAATTGTTATTTGGAGTTCGCAATGGTCACTACTCTCTTTGGCAGCTAATTAGATATCGAAGTCCACGGTTCCGTATATATAACCAGATATTGTGATTTTTTTATATTAAAACGGCATTTAAAAAAAAAAAAAACATTTCGCAAGTTTCTTCCACACAGTGGAGGATAATAAAATTTCGGCCCGGACGAACCTATCATTATAAAAATTATATCTTTCTTAATCCCCAACTGCTCTATGATCTCTAGCGGTAAAAAGGCTTTATATAAATGCAACAATTCTTGTTCAACCTACGAAATTGTAATTTATTCGCCGCTTATCACAAAGACGACACTTGTTTTAAGAATATGCACCTTATAATAAATAAAAGATAACAGACGACAAGAAAGATTGGCTGTTGAAAGTCAATCTTTTGTTGAATAAAAACAAATATTTAAGGATTAAAAAGAAACAGACATTTTTATTTATTTTCTTTTTAAGCTCCCTTTAATTGACATTAAAATTTATTCAAAATTAATGGTAATGCAACATCAATAAAACGGAAAAAGTTGAATCAAAAATGTTAATTCCCATCGTTTTTTTTTTTTTTTGGCAACTCGTTTGGTTTCGAATGAAATATATTTGATCTAGTTTAATGATGAATGAAAGTCGGGTTGTATCGAATTGAAATTCTTTAGTCTGATCTTTTCATTTCCATCAAAGCCATAAAAATAAAAAATTATTTACTTAAATGTTTGCAAAATAAATGTTCTTATTGACTTAAATGACTTATTATGCCGAATTATATTTTTTGTTTGAAGTTGATTGTTCCGAAAACCCTTAATGTGTTTTAATGTAGACATGTCGTCGATCGCATTCAAAATGTTAACTGCATTGTTAATCACAAAAACCCAAAAAAAAAAAAAAACACAAAATATTAATCTTTGCCAAAAAAAATAATATTGCATTACCCTCCGTAGCCGTCATACCTTTTCGTGCATGCAATAGTCTTTGTTTATTCCAAATTTATTCCGAAAATTTCAGTCTGTTATCGTTCGCCGTGTTGTTCTAATCAATTTCGCTTGAGTCGCTGGTGAAAAAATTGCATTTGTTTCTGTTATCATATATTCGAGTTTTTTTTTTTTTTTTCTTGTTCAAAAATGCCACCAAACAATGATTTGAATATCGTTAATCCAAATGAAGATTTGGATATACCATCATGGATCAGTGTGGATTATTTTAAAGATATTGTGGCCAAAGATGAGCCAGAATTAGTGAAAATTAGAAATTTTACTCCAACCGCAGCCATACCGCCGGGTGAAAACTTCACATCGGTTATGTTACGTTTGCACTTCGATTTGGAAATGACAGGTGGGTAATGAGGAGTAATTTTAATATATTTTGTTGGATAACTACCCTATTCGATAGCTGTCTTATATATTCCCGTTCCAAACTATATAGATCAACACAATCAGGACATGCCAAACTTTCTTCCCCAGTTCATCTTTAAACACTTTCCGTAGTTATCGGGAAAATCTTCCCTAAGCATGCCCATAAATACTTCCTCTGGCTCGCCTAAAATTTTCCCTCTGGTTTGCGAAACAGACTCAATTTAACTCGTCTCTAAATATCCGCTCTGATTCGTTTATAAAGACAGTAATCAGTTATATTAGAGTCTCCCTGGCACGGAGATTTCCTCCAGCTTACTACGTAGACCCTATACAGAACGTGTATTCTATAGAGACAGCCACAAGCTCGCCTAAAAAAATCCTTTCAGGTTATCTACAAAACTTCCTTTAACTACGTCTGCAAATCTTCCACCCCACCTGTAAGGACTAGCTCCAGACCGACTATAAGAACTTCTACTAGGAGACTCTCTGGCCTTCAGCTCGTCTATAGAGACTCTCTGGCCTTCAGCTCGTCTGTAGAGACTCTCTGGACTTCAGCTCGTCTGTAGAGACTCTCTGGCCTTCAGCTCGTCTGTAGAGACTCTCTGGCCTTCAGCTCGTCTGTAGAGACTCTCTGGCCTTCAGCTCGACTGTAGAGACTCTTTGGCCTTCGGCTCGTCTATTGAGACTCCCTGGCCTTCAGCTCGTCTATTGAGATTCCCTGACCTTCAGTTCGTATATTGAGACTCCCTGGCCTTCGGATCGCCTATTGAGAATCCCCGGCCTTCAGCTCGTCTATTGAGACTCCCTGGCCTTCAGCTCGTCTATTGAGACTCCCTGGCCTTCAGCTCGTCTATTGAGACTCCCTGGCCTTCAGCTCGTTTATTGAGACTCCCTGGCCTTCAGCTCATCTATTGAGACTCCCTGGCCTTCAGCTCGTCTATTAAGACTCCTTCTAGCTCATCTATTAAGACTCATTTTTTAAATTCCCTCTTTACCACTTTTGCAAAACTTCCTTCTTTCCGCCTTTTTCATTTTGCATAGTGTAATTATTTAATAAAATAAAAAAAAAATATCTTCCCATTTTAGATGGCTCCATCAAACACAAAACCTATATCTTCAAAACAATGTTGGACGAGGAGAAAGGTGGCAAGGTTATCAAAGACATGGCTCTGTTCCCCAAAGAAATGGAAATGTATAGCACGTATTTGCCAGCATTTGAACAGCTTTACAAAGATGTTGGTTGGGATATTCAATTTGCACCGAAATGTTTGCTTACCGAGAAAAAGGACAATCGCATCAATTTCCTCTTTGAAGATTTATCTTTGAAGCATTACAAAAACTTAAATCGCCTCGAAGGCTGTGATATGGAGCATATGATCTGTGTTTTACGAAAATTGGCTGAATTCCATGCTGCCAGTGCTGTGTATGAGGAGCGAAATGGTCCCTATGGAGAAGATTTCCAATATGGTTTTGTGGATACACGTCATGGTCCCGGGTTTCTTAAACTGGTCTATGACAATAATACGCCTCCCTATAAAAAGGCAATGGCCCAATGGGGTATGGGGAATGCCGAGGAGTATATAAAGAAGTTTGTAAGTTCCAAATTTCAATTTGAAGAATATCAAAAAATTAATTTTATTAATTTGTTATTTCAGCCCACATATGACCAATTCTGGAAATGCGCCCTAGCCACCCTTAAGCAGAAAAACAACACCTTCAATGTCCTTAATCATGGTGATTTTTGGTCCAGCAACATCATGTTTTCCTATACGGAAAATAAGAAAATCCATGAGGCATTAATGGTCGATTTTCAGCTCTGCAAATGGGGTAGTCCTGCTGAGGATTTGCTATTCTTCATAACCATATCTGCGGCACCGAATATTCGCCTCAAAGAATTTGATCATTTTGTGGCCATCTACCACAAACGTTTGATCGAGTGTCTCAAGCAACTGGGTTACAAAAAGCCATTGCCTTCCCTGAGGCAATTGCAGCAGGATATGTATGATAGAAATAATACATTCTATGGTGAGTCCTTGGAATTTCTTAAATCTGCCGATGGAAGTTCGAAAATATTTATTCTTTTCAGCTTTCTTTGCCTGCATCAATCATATTCCGGTTGTTCTACTGCCCTCCGATAAAGATGCCAACATAGAAAATTATTCCCGTCCCGATGAGGTGGGCGAGAGATTGCGAATGAAAACCTATACCAATCCACGTTTTGTTGCTACCATAAAGGATGTGTACAAGTTCTTTGTTCAACGGGGTCTCTTCAATTTTGAGGATTATGACCGAGATTAAGGGGTACTCATAGTGTTCAAATTCGAAATATCTCAGGGATAATAAAGATACAAATTAAGAAAAAAAATAAAACAAACGTTGTTTTTATAAAAACAACAATAATGGGATTTTGCCTGACGATTTTGCAACAACAAAAAATAAAACATTACAAAAATCTTTCAAAACGTTTCGTTCGGCTAAAGGTAAAAATCCTCCAGTAAAGCAATTAAAATTACGCTCTTTTTCAGCTACTCTGAAAGGTTACCATTACAGTTCTTCTATAAAGTCTACCTACCCGAAGCCTCAATATATCTCAGATTCAGCTTGTCTGTAAGATGTCCAACTTTAACTCGACTATAGAAATCCGCCTTCTCTACAGAGACTCCCTAGCCTTCAGCTCGCCTATAGAGTCCCTGGCCTCCAACTGACTTGTAGTGACTCCTTGACCTCCAGCTGACCTATAGAGACTCCCTGGTCTCAAACTGGCTTATAGAAACTCCCTGATCTCCAGATGGCCTGTAGACACTCCTTGGCCTCCAGCTCATCTATAAAGACACCCTGACCTCCAGCTCGTCTATAAAGACTCCCTGATCTCCATCTCCCCCCCCCAGCACGTCTATAGAGACTCCCTGGCCCCCAGCTCGTCTATAGAGACTCCCTGGCCCCCAGCTCGTCTATAGAGACTCCCTGGCCCCCAGCTCGTCTATAGAGACTCCCTTGCCCCCAGCTCGTCTATAGAGACTCCCTGGCCCCCAGCTCGTCTATAGAGACTCCCTGGCCTCCCGCTCGTCTAAAGAGACTCCCTGGCCCCAGCTCGTCTATAGAGACTCCCTGATCCCCAGCTCCTCTATAGAGACTTCCTGATCCCCAGCTCGTCTATAGAGACTCCCTGGCCCCCAGTTCGTCTATAGAGACTCCCTGGTCCCCAGCTCGTCTATAGGGACTCCCTGGTCTCCAGCTCTTCTATATAGACTCCCAAGCCTCCAAATCGTGAATTGAGACTTCCATGCTTCCGGTTCGTCTATAGAGACTTCCCCTACCCCTCAAATATAAAGAGGCTCCTTATAGCTCGTCTATAAAGGTCCACTCCAGCTCGTCTTTAAAGAATCCCTCCAGTTTGTCTGTAGAAAGACTGCCTTCACTACAACGACTCCCTACAGCTCGTTTAAATAGACTCCCCAAGTTCGTCTATAAAGACTCCCAGCTCATCTCAAAGCCTTAATTTGTCCGGAATAAACTTCATTAGTTTCTCCTCGCTTGGTTTTAATAGCATCCACTTTCAGTCTATCTATGAAGGCACCTATTTTCCAATTCTCTTCCTTTCCCCTACTTTAATTAGTTTCAAACTTCTCCCTCAGCTTTTTCGATACCTTTGGACCCTCTATGTGACTACTTCCACTTAAATAATTAATTCTCAATCTAATTTTATCAGATAATTGGCCGACATTTTCAAACAAAAAATGCTGTCACGTACGTCAAAGCGTTGATTTAAGTATTCAATGTGAGTAGATAGCAAAAAATATTCTTATTGATACAGCACAAATAAGGAACCAAATTTGGAGAATATGTTAATTTGGCTTGCCTTATTATAATTTGTTCATGGAGATTTTTAAGAATCGAATAAAAATTTTATTTTTATTTCTCAAAATTTTATGGCCCACTGTGCAGCAATTAGTTCTCAGTTCAAACAACATGAAAATTAAAAATTATTATTTGATCTATGAGTGTTGCAAAATATAATCGAAAGCTTGTAGATATATCTGCTATGAATAGTTTTGGAGAGAATCCAAAATTGTTTTACGCTCACAAAATTGAGAACTAAGACTTTTGTCTGAAAATCTTGATATGCGTTATCTAGACGCTCGTCAAAGCAAAACTGGTAGTTCAGTTTAACGCGTTTTCTCTTTTGACATACGGCCCCATGTATTTTAGTTATTAATTGACTGCTGTTTAACATAGATCGCCGGAAACTTGCGTCCGTTCACCTGACAGCAAAAATAAAAAAATGAGTGAAAATACTGAAATTATCAATCCAAATGAAAATCTGCAAATACCTGAATGGATAAATGCGGAATATTTTCATGACATTGTGAAAAAAGATGAACCTGATTGTGTGGCTATAAAAACATTCACTCCAACCGCGGCAATACCGCCGGGTGAAAATTTCACATCAGTTATGTTGCGATTGCATATGGATTTGGAAATGAAAGGTTGGTTCGATGAATGTTGGACATGAGTGCATGTGTGTCGGTTTTGAATCTGAGTTGTTGTGGCGAATTTTGTGTTTGAGTTACAAATTCTTAAAACATGAACAATGCCAACGATTGTTTTTATTATATTATTTTTTTGTTTTTCAATATTTCTAACTCAAAAGAAAATAATTATCTGATGTAACTGTGCGTGTAAGTTATTTCCGCATGATTTTTTTTTTTTTTGTTTTTGTTATTTCCCACAAAGTTTTTTTTTGCATTGTGTGGAATTTGACTGTTGAGAAAAATCTTTGCCCTTAAATAATCTGGTGGAGTGACTACTGTATTTTGAAAATGTACTTTGAATTTATTATCAAATATATGATAATAAAAATTTTGAGTGTATTAAATATCGTGAAATTTTCAATAGTTAAAAGTGTTCTTGGGTTAGCCATAATTTGAAAAAAGAGAAAAAATGATTTTCTTTTAGTCGACTAAATGAAGTGATTGATTTTTATGCCCTACGTTGTCTATAGATAGCACTATCTTTGATTTTATAACCTGCAGACTGCCAAGATTTAGGATCTTAGTATTAACTCTGGTTGAAGGAGGACATCTCACTACTAGTTCCTACCTTTTTTCAAATAATTTTGGAAAAATATTCATTCTAATGACCAACGTTGTAAACGGTCGAAACTAACTTATTTTGAAATAGATGAAAAAACAGCAACCAACTTCAGACTGCTGTCATTTCTAAGCCACTCGTCCCACAGCTGCTAAAATTATTCCACCGGCAGCTCATTATATTGTTTACAAGCGTGCAAAAACATTTTGGTGAGAATTTTCCAGAATAAAAGGTTATTGGTGATGGAATTCAAACGTGATAGCGTGATTTCATTATAATTGGCTGGAAAACCGCAAGCGGCTATCGTTAGAGCACTCCAGCATTTTAATGGGAATAAATCTTTTGTGTCTCGTACCATCGCTCGTTACCGTGATATTGGTAGCGTAGCCCGATTATTTTGAAATAGATGACAAAACAGCAACCAACTTCAGACTGCTGTCATTTCTAAGCCACTCGCCCCACAGCTGCTAAAATTATTCCACCGGCAGCTCATTATATTGTTTACAAGCGTGCAAAAACATTTTGGTGAGAATTTTCCAGAATAAAAGGTTATTGGTGATGGAATTCAAACGTGATAGCGTGATTTCATTATAATTGGCTGGAAAACCGCAAGCGGCTATCGTTAGAGCACTCCAGCATTTTAATGGGAATAAATATTTTGTGTCTCGTACCATCGCTCGTTACCGTGATATTGGTAGCGTAGCCCGACGTCAAGGAAGTGGGCGGAACAAAAGAGCAACATCAGCAGAAATGGTTCGAAAAGTAAAGAAACGACTTGATCGAAACCTGCGTCGCAGTGGCCGAAAAATGGCTCGTGAGCTGAACATGTCGCAATATTCCATTCGGCAAATATTGAAAAATGAGCTCGGGGTAAAGCCATTGAAATTTCAAAAAGTGCAAGAACTTACACCGCAATGGAAAGAAAATGGACCCAAAAGAGCTAAAGAGTTACTTCGCTTGGCTGAAAGTGGTGAACTGCCAAATTTGGTTTTCTCCGATGAGTGAACATTCGTTGTGCAGCAGTTTGTCAACAAACAAAATGATCGTGTTTACTTGCCAAAGAGGTCAGCTGAAAATGTGCATCTTCGGTTGGCCACCAGAACCAAAGCGCCGGCCATGGTGATGGTGTAGGCCGCCCTAATAGCCGATGGGCGCTTTCCGCTCGTATTAATCGACCGTGGTATCAGAATAAATGCAGAATATTATCGCAAAAATATTCTGGAGGGTGTATTAAAGCCTTGGGCACGCAAACATTTTGGCCGCAGACCTTGGACATTCCAACAAGACTCAGCACCATCGCACTTAGCACGCGCCACCCAAGAATGGTAACAAAATGAGGCTCGTCGCTTCATTTCCAGCGCACAATGGTCACCAAAATCTCCGTATACCAATCCGTTGGACTATTGTGTCTGGAGTGTTTTGGAAAGCAAGGTTGGCACTAAAAAATACCAAAGTGTCGATCACCTCAAGCAAGCGCTTCGCCGGGAATGGACCAAAATACCGCAGAGCAGCATTCGGGAAGCGTGTGACGGTTTAATTGGCCGTTTGAATGCCATAATTTGTGCCAAAGATGACCAATTCGAACCAATCTAAACTTATTCTAAATTTTGATGCTATTTCCGACATTTTTGCTTTTATTCAATAAAATTAAAAAAAAAAATCTGTAAAAATTATGGTTTTTGACTTTGTTGCAGTTTTTTTTATCTCGACCTGTATATCTATACGAAGTTAATATAAACACCATTTATTTGTCAATGTCTTTTCCAGATGGCTCCATCAAACCAAAAACCTATATTTTCAAAACCATGTTGGATGAAGAGAAGGGCGGTGCCATTATCAACAAATTATCCTTGTTTCCCAAAGAAATGGAAATGTATGGCAAATATTTGCCAGCCTTTGAGGAACTCTATAAAGCTGTCGGTTGGAATATTCAGTTATCACCGAAATGTCTATTTACCGAGAAAAAGGACAATCTTATAAATTTCCTCTTTGAAGATTTAAAGACACGGGAGTTTAAAAATATCAATCGTCTACAAGGCTGTGATATGCATCATATGACCCATATTTTGAGAAAATTAGCTGAATTTCATGCCGCAAGTGCGGTATACGAAGAACTGCATGGGGCGTATCCAGAAGATTTCCAATACGGTTTTGTAGATAATCGTCATGGCGATGCTTTTATCAGGGAATCATTTCTTACAAAAGCGGAATCATATAAAGAGGCCATGGCTAATTGGGATCTGGAGAATGTTGAGGAATATATAAGGAAATTTGTAAGTTCAATGCAAAGCGCATTAAGAATATTACAATAATTAGTTTTTTCTTGGTTTTAGCCCACCTGTGACCAGTATCAAAAATGTGCTGCAGCCACCCTACAACAATCCACAAATTCCTTCAATGTCCTCTGCCATGGTGATTTTTGGTCTAGCAATATCATGTTCAACTACTTGCCCAATGGCGAAATCAATGAAACCATGCCCCTAGATTTCCAGATTTGTAAATGGGGTAGCCCTGCAGAAGATCTACTGTTTTTCATAACCATATCACCAAGTGCTGAGATACGCGTTAAAGAATTTGATAACTTTTTGGCCATTTATCATAAGCGATTGGTGGAATGTCTCAAGGTTTTGGGCTACAAGAAACCACTACCCACATTGCGTGATATACATTGTGATATGTTTAATAAAAATAATAGTTTTTATGGTAAGTTATGAAATCCCAATATTAGATGTTGATCGTAATATTATTATTTTTCTGATTTTCTTGCAGCTTTCTTTGCCTGCTTCAATCACCTGCCCGGCATAATGCTGCCCAGCGATAAGGATTCAAATATCCATACATTTTCACGCAACGATGCCATTGGTGAAGAATTCCGACGTCGTGCCTATGCAAATCCATTGTTGGTTTCAGTTTTGAAACAGCTCTTCCCATTCTATCACAATAAAGGCATATTTAATTTTGAAGACTACGATGAGAAGTGATACTGATTTTAAGGATCCTTAACTAAATATTGTTATTAGAATATGTCAATAAATAAACTAGAGAAATTTAGATAAAAATTCAAAGCATTTTCATTCTTATGATAATTTCTTATAACACTATGGACAAATTAAATTTGCCATTCCACCTCGAAAAATTAGTCAAAAAGTGTATATAATTTTTATCAGCACAAGTTTCGAGTAGATTTTACAATAATATTGGTAGCAATTTGTCGTTCAATGGGAAATGAACCCTTCTCTCACAAAATGTTCAGTTTAGTACCATTACTTTGAATAGCCCTATCATCAATAAATTTATATTCCTAGTACTGAACAAGTAGAAAAGCAGCTAAACTAGACCGAACTTTTAATATCCTCCAACATTTCTAAGGAACTAACAAAATGTAGAAAAGATCCCTTGAAAAAGGACGCTATGATTTTAAGAATTTCGAATATCTGGTTTTCAGTTACATGAGCCATACGAAAACGTGGACCTCAGGAAGTAGTTGCTGAGATAGACTCATACATGTAGAGATAGAGAAAAAACATCTATCATTTTCCTATTTTAAACGCACTTCCTTCCAAATTATTAGGAAAATTATTTCGAAAGTCGAATACTGAAGTATTAAATACTGAAGTATTAAATCTGATTTTCATCTAAGGTATACATCTAAAAGCTTTATATGTGACTCTTATTCTTACTCAAATTAAATAATAATAGAACAATTATTTATTGTAAGGTTTGCAAACAAACTTACTCAGTGCACATCATCCATATTCGCCTCAATGTTGATATCCCAAAACAATAACAAATAAAAATGGGGAGTTTAAATAACACTAGGTGAGTATCCCCCCACTTTATACTCTCTACGACACATTCTCTTTAACACTTGACCGACGAATTGTAAACGACATAAAACAGACCGAATTCACACAACGAAAACGACAACAAACGAACGGCCGAATGACAATTATTAAACCGTACTCTCATTAAACACGAACTCAATGGCTAATGAAAGGCCAACAAACCAAACAATGGCAAAAATGATTTTTTTAAATAAATTATAATTGAAAACTTATTTTTTTATCAATTATTTTCTATGCATGAATAAACAATAGACTTTTAAACATTTTATATTCTTTCGTACCAAAAAAGGCCTTTAAAACTACACAAAAATTATGCCAAAACAATAACAAATTGAAATGGGGAGTTCAAAACAGCACATGATGAGTATTCCCCAACTTTACACTCTCGACGATGCATTCTCTTTGACACTTGACCATCGAAATTTAAAGGAAATGCAAAAAACCGAATTCACACAACGAAAACAATAACAAGAAGAACCGAACGACCGAGAGATCATTATTAAACCGCACTGAATGAGAATGCAATAGTTAAGCTCTCACTACACAAACACACACACACGAACTTAACGGCAAACGAAAGGCCAACAATCGAAGCGTCATTCGTTGGGCAGAAAAAGCAACATTATTTTTCAATAAATTTCAATAGAAAACACATTTATTTCACAATTATTTTATTAAAAATGAATGAAACAATAAACTTTTACACTTTTTATATACTTTTTAACTAAAAAGCCTTTTAAATTACACTAAAACAAGCACATCTTGCTGACTACGAAAATTCACGACCGACCGTTGCGAAAAATAACGAGAAACTGGAAAATGGAGCAATTAGGAGTAACAGTGTTGCTAATGCTACAAAACAAAGAAACTCTGTGAATTTTTTTGAAGTTAGTGATTTTGTTAGGAAACATTTTAACCGCAATGGGAACTATTTGAAAAATGAAAGAAAATATCAATCTTTGAAAATATGAATGAAAAGTCATTTTTAAATAGCATCATCCGTATAAAGTTTGCAATGTTTTTTTTTTTTTTTTTTTTTTTTTTTTTTTTTTTTTGAAACGAGGGCCTAAAACATTCTTTTAAGCCCTTGTTTCAATAAACTTTGCAAACTTTATACGTACAAAATTTTTCGTAGAACTCAATGCAATTTAAAGAAAATTGTGTGTTTCTTGCGACAAAAAATAACCCATGATCCTTTTGGATGACAGGGAGTAAAATTTTAATTAGCGACCATCGGCTGTTATGGCGACCCACACCATCATCATGCCCGGCGCTTGAGTTCTGGCCAACCGAAGGTGCACATTTCCAGCTGACCTCTTTGGCAAATAAACGAATGTTTCCTCATCGGAGAAAACCAAATTCGACAGTTCACCACTTTCGACCAGGCGAAGCAACTCGTTAGCTCTTTTGAGTCTATTTTCTTTCTGTTGAGGTGTAAGTTCTTGCACTTTTTGGAATTTCAATGGCTTTACCCCAAGCTCATTTTTCAATATTTGCCGAATGGACTATTGCGATATGTTCAGCTCACGAGCCATTTTTCGACCACTGCGACGCGGGTTTCGATCAAGTCGCTTCTTTACTTTTCGAACCATAATTTTAACAGCTGTCAGACGAGTGGCTTAGAAATGACAGCAGTCTGAATTTGGTTGTAGATTTTTCATCTCACCCCGTATATCTTCTAAATTCTAAAATTGTAGATCTGTCATTATTTGTTATCCCTATTATGGACGAGGAGCTGTCATTAGATATGAACAGATTACTTCTACATCGTTTAGAAAATGTAACATTAAAATAGTTACTTCTAATCATGGGACAGTATTTTTTTTTTTTTTTTGAAGTGACAAAATATTCATAAAAACTTAACTGTAACTCAACTCAACTTAAACTTTATTGATTAAATATCAAAAAATCAAAATCTCACATTATATTTGTGTTGTACTCTCTTATTATATTTATTTCGAAATAGTCTGTGGGTTGACAACACTGGAGCTTTATATACAATTCATTCTTTCCTGTATAAGAATCAAAACTGAAGCATACTTTTAGGCGCATAATGTTTCAACTCACATTTAACATTGATTTTAAAGTTATGGATGATAAAATAGGTCATTAGCTACAATTTTGTTTGTTTGCTTTCTTTTGAGAAAGATTTGTGGTAATTATTCCGAACATACCATACAATTATAATTATTTTGCCATAATTTACCAATACGTAAAGCTGAGTGGATTAATGCAAATCTCTACGTAAATCCTGGAAGATATTTCGAGAACGAGCAATTGTAAGGTATTAAAAATTTCATAGAGACACATACAAATATACATTAGCAGGTCTCGATATTTAGCCATAGAATGAAGACTCTAAGCCTTACTCACAAAACAAATACAAGCTTTACAAAATAATGTGTTATTATTTTAATTAGCACCTCATCGCATAACGCCTTTTTAATGCATCTATGAAAATAAATATTATTGACTCCAACGATAGGTGTCGGAACAGCGTATCTAATAATTGCTTGCTCAGAAATTTAGCTACGTACTTATATATCAATTATTCTTCCATTTAACGACTAGACTTAGGTGTGAACGTCTTAATAAGAAAGCTTACAAAATTTAACATATTTTTCTTAATTTCCCTCATTTTCCCAACACCCCCTACTCCAGGGGAAATATTGTGACCACCTTCAAAGTATTTTCTTATCAGAAATCAAGAACACTCGGTCGCCTGCATTACTTTCGTTTGCAACGACTATCTTTGGTAAGCCTTATACTAACTAAATATTAACCAAGAATAGGAACGTAAACAGTTTTAGCCACCCCCACCTCTTGTGATCCACAAACAAGCAGGTACAACGCTCTGCTAACAAACCGAATGCTATCTACTACGCCAGGCAGAACAAAACTGATAAAAAAGTGTAAAATCCAAACAAAAACAATAATAACGCATTGGGTGTTTGGGACTGAAGGAGGAGAATGAACTACGAAGAGGGTGAAAATACTCAACGTTTGCCTATGAGAATCAGAGAGAGCGAGAGACAAAGTTAAAGGTAATACGATCTGATGGAAACAAAGAAACAACGGATTTTGAGAAAACCGGGTTAAAACAATCTATAGAGACCTGGAGATTTCTGGAGAGGATCTCTTTGGGCAAAACAGAATAATTGAAAACCCCGGCGTATTCTATGAATAATAGACAACCTAAAGACAAGGTCTTCTATAGAAAGCAGGTCTTCTATGGACATTAGAAGACCTCCAGGTCTTCCATAGACATTAGAAGACCTCCAGGTCTTCCAAAGACATTAGAATAAATCCCGCTCTTCCAAAGAAATTAGAAGACCTCCAGGTCTTCTATGGAAATTAGAAGGTCCCTAGGTCTTCTCTGGTCAGTAGAAGAACTCTAGGTCTTCCTAAGACATTAGAAGACCTCCAGGTGTTCCAAAGACATTCGAAGATCTCCAGGTCTTCTATGGATATTAAAAGACCTCCGGGTCTTCGATAGACATTAGAAGACCTCCAGTTTTTCCAAAGGCGTCTTTGGAAGAGCTCCCGGTCTTCCAAAGGTATTAGAAGACCTCCAGGTCTTCTATTGACATCAGAAGACCTTAAGGTCTTCTGTGGGTAGTAGAAGACCTCCAGATCTTCCATAGACATTAGAAGATCTCCAGGTCTTTTATGGACATTAGAAGAGCTCCAGATCTTCCATAGACATTAGACGACCTCCAGGTCTTCTATGGACATTTGAAAACCTCCAGGTCTTCTGTAGACATTTGTAGACCTTCAGATCTACTATGGACATTAGAAGACCTCCTGGTCTTCTATGGGCATCAGAAGACCTCCAGGTTTTCAATGGGCATTTGAAGACCTCAAGGTCTTTTATGGGTATAGGAAGACCTTAAGCTCTTCCATAGGCATTAGAAGACCTTCTGGTCTTCTATGGACACTAGAAGACTTCCAGGTCTTCTATGGATATTAGAAGACATTTAGGTCTTCTATAGACAGTAGAAGACCTCCAGGTCTTCTATGGACATTAGAAGCGCTCCAGGTTTTGTATGGACATTAGAAGATCTCCTGATCTTCTATTGTATAAACTGTAGAAAACTTCCAGGTCTTCCAAAGACATTAGGAGACCTTCAGGTCTTTCAAAGACATTAGAACACTGGGTCTTCAATGGACATTACAAGACCTCAAGGTCTTCTATGGACAGTAAAGGTTCTTTAGACATTAGAAAACCTTCCGGTTTTCCGTGAACCCTAGCAGACCTCACTTTCTTTAATGGACAGTAGTAGACCTTCGGGTCTTATATGGACAGTAAAATCCCTCAAAGATATTAATGGACAGCAGAAGACCTCCAGGTCTTCATTGGGCATTAGAAGACCCCTATGTCTCCTTTGGATAGTAGAAGACCTCCAGGTACTCCATCGACAGGGAACACCCCCAGTTTCTTTCTGGACAGTAGAAACATTCTATGTCTTTTATGGTGAGCGGAAGATTTAAGGAAGTTCTTAAGTTTTATCTGGACAGTAATGGACCTCTTAGAAAAATATTTTTCCCATGTGCAGTTAAAGACCATGAGGAGAACATGAGGCATTCATTGACGACAGAATACATTAAGGCCTTCTTTCGTCCATTGGAAGCCTATTTTGAAACTAAAAACCGGTTTCGTATTTCACATCTCTAATAAACTTTTAACTAGTAACTCACTCTCTCCATTACTTTCTCTCTCGCCAACGATGATTCTCTTCTCCCACTGGGTATCTCCGAGAATGCGCTCAACTTGTAGATTGCAATTCAAAAGTAGAAAAAAGTACGACCAAACGTTGTCTGATCGTTGCCGATAAAACATCAGTTCGATGGCAGTAACGAACGACGTTGTTGGGGCGCGCATCCGAGAAATACAGAATAATAATTTAAAGACGTTAAGAATCTATTTCAAAATTCCAATATAGAGCCTGGCATTTTCTTGTCGCAATAAAATTGATTTGGACGCAAAGTGTGATAAATTGCCTCCGGCTATTTGTTATTGATCGACGTTTTCAAGTTCCGCCTGGCAAAAAAAAAAAAAAAAAAAACAAAAAAATTGAGTAAAATAAAATACAAGTACGCAAATTACGAGCAGCAACAAGTGTAAAAAACAAAAACAAATTCTAAGCGCCAGCAATTTGTCAGTATTATGAAAATAGAAATTTGTGGATTATTTTAAAAAACACACATCGAAAAAATATTTTTGTGATACCAACTAAAATAACAACTACAACGACTGTGATTAATTTTTTTTTTTTTGGAATTAAAATTCTACAAATCCACTATGCCCGATAACAGTTCGAAATTCAATCCCAATCTAAATGTGGATATCCCCAAATGGGTGAACGAGGCCTACTTCTATCCAATTCTCAAAAATGATTTACCCAATTTTGTGAAAATCCTAAATTTTACCACCATCCCGGCCACACCACCCGGCGAAAACTACACCTCGCTGATGATGAGAATCAAAATGGATATCGAAATGGAAGGTAAGTGGATGAGTGAGTTTTGGTTGTTTGACGAAATGACTTGCTGGCTAGCCGACTGTTTGTTTGGCTGTTTCGGTGTTTGTTTGGCTTTCTTTGCTGCAGATTATGATGGCAGGGCTTTGTGTGTCGTTGGTCTTATCAGAAGATTCTGAAATAGTGATAAGGTTTAGAATTTTTGAAATAAAAGCAATAAGAAGTTACTAAGCATTTCAAAGTTCTGCCTCTCCAAAAGGAAAATTACTTGCGGTTGCTTTATTAGCATTTCGTCACTAGATTTTGTTGCTATTTTTACAAGAAACCTAAATATTTGATTTAAATGGAATGTCAATAAAAATAATTTTTTTTGGCTTAATGCGGCTAACTTCTGGATTACTTTAGTTTAAACAGATGTGTGCTTGACTGTTTTGCACGGCAACCTTCAACAAAATAAATACTAAAAATATGATCTTAATTAAAATTTTAAAAATGTGAAGGTCTTCTACCGTTCCGTTGTTAATGGAATAGATCACTAGTAGGTAGTTTAAAAAGAAGAGTCGGAGGCTCCTTTAAAGAACAACAACAATTTTTCTTAAAAGATTTCAGGCCTTGTTGGAAGGCCTTATATTATGACCAACAAAAAAATTAAGAATTTAAAAAAAATAGAAGACATTCTTCAGTAGAATGTCCCTACAGAAAACCTCAAAAACATAAAAAGTTTGCTATTAAAAACACATATAAAGTTTTCGCATAGAAAAGCAGCAAAAGAGAAATAGGTTTTCTCAGAGAAGCGTAGAAGATCTTCTCAGAGAAGAGCAGAAGGTCTACTCAGAGAACAGCAGAAGGTCTACTCAGAGAACAGCAGAAGGTCTTCTCATAGAAGAGCTGAAGGTCTTCTCATAGAAGAGCAGTAGGTCTTCTCATAAAAGAGCAGAAGGTCTTCTCATAAAAGAGCAGAAGGTCTTCTCATAGAAGAGCTGAAGGTCTTCTCATAGAAGAGCTGAAGGTCTTCTCATCGAAGAGCTGAAGGTCTTCTCATAGAAGAGCTGAAGATTTTATCATAGAAGGCAAGTCGGTCTTCTCTTAGAAGAACTGAAGGTCTTCTCATAAAACAGCAGAATGTCTTCTCATAGAAGACCCGAAGGCCTTCTCATAGAAGAGGTCATCTCATAGTAGAGCAGAAGGTCTTCCCAGAGAAGAGCAGAAGGTCTTCTCATAGAAGAGCAGATGGTCTCTTCTCATAGAAGAGCAAAAGGTCTCTTCTCATAGAAGAGCAGAAGGTCTCTTCTCATAGAAGAGCAGAAGGTCTCTTCTCATAGAAGAGCAGAAGGTCTCTTCTCATAGAAGAGCAGAAGGTCTCTTCTCATAGAAGAGCAGAAGGTTTCTTCTCATAGAAGAGCATAAGGTCTCTTCTCATAGAAGAGCAGAAGGTCTCTTCTCATAGAAGAGCAGAAGGTCTCTTCTCATAGAAGAGCAGAAGGTCTCTTCTCATTGAAGACCAGAAAGGTCTTCTCATAGAAGACCAGAAGGGTCTTCTCATAGAAGACCAGAAAGGTCTTCTCATAGAAGACCATGAGGTCTTCTTATAGAACACCAAAAAGATCTTTTCATAGAAGACTAGTTGTATTCTCATAGAAGACCATAAGTTCTTCTCTTAGGAGACCAGAAAGTGTTCCCGTTGGGGACCAAAGGGTCTTCTCATAGAAGGCCAGAAAACCAACCAAGAAGGTCTTCTTGTAGACGAACAGAAGACATGTTGATGTTCTGGCGTAGAAGACCTGTTGGTCTTCTGATCTAAAGGACCTGTTCGTCTTCTGATCTAGAAGACCTGTTGGTCTTCTGATCTAAAGGACCTGTTGGTCTTCTGATCTAGAAGGCCTGTTGGTCTTCATATCTAGAAGGCCTGTTGGTATTCAGGTCTAGGAGACCTGTTGGTATTCAGGTCTAGATGACCTGTTGGTATTCCGGTCCAGGTGACAGGAAACTAGTTGTTCTTCTCAGACCAGAAAACCACAAAGATTTTTAAGACCAGCAATTCGGCTTATAACAAATGACCTCATATATTTGTCGACCTTGCACATTCACTACTTAGGTTTTTCCCCATAGGTAATTTGTCATGTTCGATATTGCTGACAGACTCTATTAAGGGGCTTATCTTTGATAAACTTTATTTTCAAAGACTAAAGACAAGCAGTTGACAATGTCATAATATAGTCGCTGATGAGCAATGTGTATACATATGTATGGGAATAGCAGACCTCCATTGAATAAAATGGGAATAAAAAAGTGGGTCACGTGACTCAAATAATACTGTTTTATACCAAAGGGGCATTTAGCTATCATATCGTCTCCAACTGTCACTTATTTGGGGAGAAAGGTGAGATAAAGGGACAACAACCTCTCTGACCAACAAGGTAGGAATTCTGGAAAGTAAAATTGTCGAAAGAAAACCCAGTACTAAAATTGTGTAAAGCTTGAACATCCATTTGAAATAAATAACAAGTTAAAAAGCAGTAAGTTCGGCCGGGCCGAACTTTTAAAACCCTCCACCATTTGCAACGAATTTGGAAATTTTCAAAAAATAAAATCCTTAAAAAATTCTGTTAAAAATTTAAAAATACCGAATATAGCCGTTATTTTGGGGTCTATACGACGTGGACATACATAGGCATTGTTTGTCATAAGCCATTACAATATTCAAATTCGAAACTTGAAATAAACGGTGAATAATGTAGCTAAAATCATCAAAATACCGAATATAGGGAGGTACCGTTATATGGGGGCTATACGAAGACCTGGACCCGCACAGACAATTTTCTGTCACAGACTGTAGTTCCCATAACGAACTTCAAATACCAATTTTAAAACAATTCCGGTAAATAGTGTCGCTAAAATCATCAAAATACCGAATATAGGGAGGTACCGTTATATGGGGGCTGTACGAAGACGTGGACCTGCACGGATAATTTTCCGTCTTAGGGTGTAGTATCCATTTTGAACTTCAAATACCAAATTTGAAACAATTCCCGTGAATAATGTCGCTAAAATCATCAAAATACCGAATATAGGGAGGTACCGTTATATGGGGGCTGTATGAAAACGTGGACCTACATGGCCCATTTAGGAACTTAACCTGCCTACTGGAAAAATAAATATGTGTGCAAAATTTTAGCCACCTATCTCAATTCATTCGAAAGATAGCGTGATTACAACAGACAGACAGACGGACAGACAAACAGACAGACGGACATCGCTAAATCGTCTTAGAATTTTACGCTGATCAAGAATATATATACTTTGTTGGGTCTGATATGAGTACTCCGAGGAGTTACAAACGGAATGACAAAGTTAATATACCCTCCATAGTATGGTGGAGGGTATAAAAAGTAGCTATGTTGAAATGCGTATTAATTATATTTTCTTTCATTCAGATGGCTTCACACAACAGCAATCGTACATTATGAAGACGATGTTGGATGACAAGAAGGGCGGCACATTCATCAACACCCTGAACCTCTTTCCCAAAGAACGACTGATGTATGAGGCGATTTTGCCACAGCTGGAGGGACTCTATGAAGAATTCGGCAGCAAGGTGAAGTTTGCCCCAAAATGTCACTTTATCGAGGATAAATCGGGGAGAATAACACTGGTGCTTGAAGATTTGCTAACGAAAAAGTTCAAAAACGTAAATCGCCTGAAGGGATTCGATATGGCTCATATGAAGAGGGTCTTGGAAAAATTGGCAGAATTCCATGCAGCATCTGTGATTTTAAGAGAAAAACTTGGAACCTTCCCAAAGGAATTTAAAAACACCTATCTGCCAGCCAACTATCAAAAATCCAAATCATATCAGGCCCGTTTGAATAGTTACAAGGCAGCCATGGCCACATGGGGTCTGGAGGATTATGAGAAATATGCCAAAATGATTGTGAGTTAATGCATTTATTTTACATGGAAAGTAAATATTTTAAATATTTATTTTATTTCCAGCCAAATGCCGATCAATATGTCAGTGCCACAATGCAGTGCTTCAGCAACACATATCCGGATGAATTCAAGGTCCTTAATCATGGCGACTTTTGGTCCAGCAACATAATGTTAAGTTACACTTCGAAAAATGGCCACAACGATATCAATCAGATACGTTTTGTTGATTTCCAAATGTGTAAATGGGGCAGTCCGGCCATGGATCTGTGGGAGCTAATCATATGCTCGGTGGAGAGTAATCTGCGTATACGTAACTTTGACATATTTTTGAGGTTATATCACAATCATTTGTTGAAGTGTTTGAAATTTCTGAAATATGAGAAACCCATGCCTCTGCTAAGCGACCTGCACATCAGCATGTTGAGATATGGCTTTTGGGGTTATTTCACCACCTTTACACATCTGGTGTTAATTTTATTGCCTTCGGATAAGGAAGCAAGTTTGCTGCGCTTGATGCAGCCTGGCGAAGAGGGTGATAAGTTTCGTATGAAGGCTTTCACAAATCCCTTGTATGTTCGGGCAGTGCTGGATATATTGCCGTTTTTATATCGGAGAGGTATTTTAGAATTTCAATAAAAAATCATTCAAATTAAATTGAAGTTTGATTTTTTTATTAATATTTTAATGAGTAGACATTTTTCTATGGGTGTAATGTGTGAAAAAGCTTGTTTCGTTCAGGGTTGCCATAGTAAGGGTATTTTTAATTACAGATTCAATATTAAGGGAATTTATTATAAAAATCGTCATAAACTATTGGAGTCCACCTTTCCCCAATGGAATATCAATGACATATCATCTGACAAAAATATTATTATTTACATGAACATAAAATATTTCAGAGATTTGCTATCTACAGCAGACCCACGTGTCTTCACTTTTTTCTAACTTTTTTACAAAAGAGATCTAAGATAACTTCCGCGCATGAGAGAACTTGAGACGCCCTCTACCTAAAAATAACTTTTAGAGACATTCAAAATCAGACAGTCATATTGAAAGAGATTTTTGACGGCTATTATGATCCTTCCACCAACGAAATTAAATACACATTAGAAGATTGGTTAGCAAGAACTGAATCAAAAGATTGGTGATGTATTTTCAATTCCTAAACGAACTGTTCGTGTCACATAATTTTTATGAGAAACACAAAACTACAGGATGAGTTAAAAATAGCTGCAACAAAGCCAAACGCCATAATTTTTACTTTTTTTTAATGAAAGCAAAAAATCGGCGCGATTTATGGCCATCAAACGGCCAATGAAATGTCACACGCTGCTCGAATGTTGCTCTGCGATATTTTGATCCATTCCCGGCGAAGCGCTTGCTTGAGGTGATCGAGACTTTGGTATATTTTAATGTCAACTTTGCTATAAAATACTCCAGACACAATAGTCCAACGGATTGGTATCCGGAGATTTTGGTGGCCATCGTGCGCTGGAAATGAAGCGAGGAGCCTCATTTTGTAACCATTCTTGGGTGGCGCGTACTGAGTCCTGTTGGAATGTCCAAGGTCTGCGGCCAAAATGTTTGCATGCCCAAAGCTTAAGACACCCTCCAGAATATTTTCGAGATAATATTCGGCTTTTGCTCTGATGCCACGAATAATACAGCGGAGAACGACCATCGGCTGTTATGGCGGCCCTCACCATTACCATGGCCAGCGCTTGAGTTCTGGTGGCCAACGGAAGGAGCACATTTTCAGCTGACCTCTTTGGCAAGTAAACGCGATCATTTTGTTTGTTTACAAACTGTTGGACAACGAATGTTTTTTCATCGGAGAAAACCAAAAACCAAATTCGGCAAATAACCACTTTCGGCCAAGCGAAGCAACTCTTTAGCTCTTTTGAGTCTATTTTCTTTCTGTTAAGGTGTAAGTTCTTACCACTTTTTGAAATTTCAATGGCTCATTTTTCAATATTTGACGAATGGAATATTGCGATATGTTCAGCTCACGAGCCCCTTTACGGCCACTGCGACGCGGATTTCGATACTTTTCGAACCATTTCTACTGATGTTGCTGTTTTCTTCCGTCCACTTCCTTGGCGTCGGGCTACGCTACCAGTGTTACGGTAGCGAGCGATAGTACGCCACACAAAAGATTTATTCACATTTAAATGCTGGATTGCTCTAACGAAAGCCACTTGTGGTTTTCCAACCAAATATAAAGAAATCACGCTATCACGCTTGTATTCCATTAGGAATAACTTTTTTCCTGGAAAATTCTCACCAAAATGCTTTTGTACGCTTGTAAACTATATAATGAGCTGTCACTGGAATAATTTTAACAGCTGTCGGAGTGGCGTAGAAATGACAGCAGTCTGAAGTTGGTTGCAGTTTTTTCATATCACCCTGTATGATACCTATTCGTTTTGTTCGGACTTTTTGAAGTCGGGAGGTTTTTTCTTACTATGGATCATTGCAGCTTTATACCCTTCAAAAATGTTTTTTTCGTAATACAGCTTGGGTCCCACATAGCTTGTTTTAGACGTAGTCATGGTAGAATTAAGAAGGTAAAGTCATGCAACAATAAGTTTACAATTTTTCCCAAATTTATTCATTTGACAACATCTGATTGTCAAAATGTATATTTATAAATCCATTGTAAATAAACATATCAGAGATGGGAACTTGTTTTCTATGCAGTGAAACTTGAAATTTAAATTACAGAAACTGCAAAGATGGGAATGCTTATTTGAAATGACTTTGCCTTCCTTATTTTAACATGGATGTAATGATCGTTCCGTATCGGATGTCTCAGCTATGACCCAATTTGTGTTAATGTCGGCTTCAGAGTTTGAGTGGATACCACCAAGAAAAGTATAGATCGACATGTAATTTCCCCTGAACCTACCATTATGTAGGAGATTGGTCACGATCGGTACGACCACTGCCAGTGTTGAGTTATGCAATCCACTTGCCATTTATTATTTAAAATATGTGTTACTGTCTTATTCACAGACAGGCAGAGTGCATTATTTTTCCTTTTAAACTATTTGAGGAATTGAATAACGGCAACTCTGTCACTTATCAGCTACCCCACAAAAAAGAACATCTTCACTCCCATTTACACAACACACACTCTCTCATATATTCAAATTGTATTGATAAACAAAAGCATCTGTTTCGCATTCTCTGTTATTATTTTTGTTACGAAGCACGTGAGTTAGGCGCCGCGAGAGAGAGACACACACACGAAAACCCCCCACTTAAAGCTTTTCATGTATCTCTCCCTGCACACACAACTAAGTGGGGTTGCTTGGGCTGCATTCAAATAATTATCAATACATTGTTCATGTTAACACAGCTACAACAAGCTAGTAGTTCTACAAGTCAACAAGTGCCGCTGAATTACTCGTCGCACCGAAAACAAACCCCACACAAGAGAGAGAGAGAGAGAGAGAGTATTTCTCTTCTTTTTAAAATTAAAGCTATTTTTCTTCATCTAATCAGGTGACCTGTTTGTTGGAGTCGATATTTGGTGGGGATTTTTATTTCACTGCTTGTCGTGGTATCTGTCGGAACGTTGAATAGGAAAAAAAATATATAAAAATAAATTACAAGCATTTTGTGAGTAAAGGATAATAAAAATATAACAAATATGGGAACCGGTGCCGCCAACTACACCCCACCAGAATGGATTACAGCTGAATTTCTACAGGACGTTCTCAAGGAATATTTCAAAGACGACACCTTGGAGGTGCATGAAATTGTTGTGAAAAGTGTTAGCACGGATGCGGCCAGAGGCAGTGGATTTGCCAGTGAAATGCATCGGGCCATTTTCAATTTGAAACGTAATGATGTTACCGGCAAATTTTCGGTCATTATCAAGGTAAGTTGAGCTCTTTTTCCTGAGGGTTAGGAATAATCGATAACAAGGAGACAAAGCCTAACAACGCGTTCCTAATTTTTAGTTAATGTAAAAAGTAGCAGAAGTAAAGAAGGGTTTTGAGCACATTTTTTCGTTTTTCTAAATCTTTGTTATCAATTAGATAAAACTAAATAGCGATAACCGAATTTTGTGTTAATTAAAAAACTCACATGGCGAATTTTATTATATTTGTTGTTTAATTGCGAACCTATGAAGTTGTTCGAATTTGTTGACCCTTTATTAAACGTGTATTTGTGTTATAAACAATAAAAAATACTCCAATGTTAGAGCAGGAACATCTTTAAATATATTCTATGGAGGAGGTTGTCCAACGTTATTCTGTAACTAGAGGCCATCTCAGTGATATCTTTGGGGTTTGAAAACGAAATCATTCTTCTTAAATAATTGTTCTTCTTAAGTCGGCCATAGATCACGGGAAGATTTAGGTAATTAACAAATTGTTATCTCCAGCTAGCAGGCGCAAATGTTTCTTAATAAGTCGAAGTTGTACATCGGCAATTTCGGTCTGTTACCAGACTTTCAAAACTAAGTTCAATTTCCTGCACCAAGGAAGAGTTAAAGGTAATTCCCAGTACATCCCTAGTTTTACGCTGTCTACTCAAAGTAGTTTTTAAAACACTCCAATGCAGAAAGCTATGGTAAACAAGTAAAAAAGCTGTAAGTTCGGCCGGGCCGAACTTTGAATACCCTCCACCATTTAGAACGAATTTGGAAATTCTCAAATACAATAAAATCCGTTAAAAATTTTGTTAAAATCTTAAAACTATAGAATTTAGCTGTTACATTAGAGCCTATACGACGACATTGACCTGCATAGGTAACTTTTGTAATAAGCCACTACAATATTCAAATGCGAAACTTAAAAAAAATCAGTGATCAATTTTCTGTCACAGACTGTAGTTCTCATTACGAACTCTAAATACTTAATTTGAAACTACTCCAGTGAATAATGACGCTAAAATCTTCAAAATACCGAAAATTGGGAGGTACCGTTATATGGGGGCTATACCAAGAAGTGGACATGCACAGACAATTTTCCGTCATAGGCTGTAGCATCCATTACGAACATCAAATACCAAATCATCAAAATACCGAATATCGGGAGGTACAATTGTATGGGGACTATACGAAGGCGTGGACCTACACAGACAATTTTCTCTCTTAGGCTGTAGTATTCATTGGTAACTTCAAATACCAAATTTGAAACAATTCCGGTGAATAATGTCGCTAAAATCATCAAAATACCGAATATCGGGAGGTACGTTATATGGGGGCAATACGAAGATGTGGACCTACACGGCCCATTTTCAATACCAAAAGTCCTGCAGACATAATATACAATTAAGTAAAATTTTATCAACCTACTTCAATTCGTTCGGAAGCAAGAGTGATTTCCACAGACGGACAGACGTACGGACATTGCTAAATCGACATAGAATTCTATGCTGATCAAGAATATATATACTTTGTGGGGTCTAAAATGTACTCACAAGCACCTAAGATTGAATATTTTCTAAGGTGCTTCTACGAACAGAAAATCTCTTTGATCCTTCTTTGGATTTTTATACCCTACACCACATAGTGGTAAGGGTATTATGTCTTTGTGCATTTGTTTGTAACATGGAGAAGGAAAGGAGATAGACCCATAGTTACTTTTGAGAACCTTCAAAGAATCACTTTCTGAGTCGATTTATGCATGTCAGTCCGTCTGTCCGTCCGTCCGTCCGTCCGTCTGTCCATGTATTCTTGTGAACAAAATGCAGGTCGCATTTATTATCCGATTGAGATGAAATTTTCCAAACAATATTTTTTTGGCCCAAGGACGAACCCTATTGAAATTGGTGAGAATCGGATCAAATTTAGATATAGCTCCCATATATATCTTCATCCGATTTCGGGTTAAATGTGCACCAAATATCCACTATCAGTCCAAATTACCTGAATTTTGGCACACCCAACCGAGTTCGGCCTAGAAGCAAATATATCAAATTTGGAGAAAATCGGTTCAGATATAGCTATAGCTCCCATATATATCTTTCATCCGATTTGATCTTTAAGTCCCTCACATTCCTACTATGCACTCCACAACCGTGATATTTGGTACCGGGTATTAGATGGAGCACAGAAATAGCTGTTTTAAATTTTATCGAAATCGGTTCAGATTTGGATATAGCTCCCATATATATCTTCATCCGATTTCGGGTTAATTGTGCACCAAATGGCCAATATAAGTCCAAATGGACTGAATTTTGGCACATGTGACCGAGATTAGCCTTAAAGCAAATACAACAAATTTGGAGAAAATCGGTTCAGAAACAGATATAGCTCCCATATATATCTTCATCCGATTTCGGGTTAAATGTGCACCAAATGTCCACTATCAGTCCAAATTACCTGAATTTTGGCACCCCCAACAGAGTTCGGCCTAGAAGCAAGTATATCAAATTTGGAGAAAATCGGTTCAGATATAGCTATAGCTCCCATATATATCTTTCATCCGATTTGGTGTTTAAGCCTCTCACATTCGTAATATGCACTCCACAAGAATGATATTTGGTACCAGATATAAGATACAGCCCAGAAATAGCTGTTTGTAATTTTATCGAAATCGGTTCAGATTTGGATATAGCTCCCATATATATCTTCATCCGATTTCGGGTTAATTGTGCACCAAATGGCCAATATAAGTCCAAATGGACTGAATTTTAGTACATCGGACCAAATTCAGCCTAGAAGCAAGTATATAAAATTTAGTGAAAATCGGTTCAGATATAGATATAGCAACCATATATATGTTTCATCCCATACATTCGTAATATTCACTCTACAACCGTGATATTTGGTACCAGGTATTAGATGGAGCACAGGAATAGCTGTTTTAAATTTTATCGAAATCGGTTCAGATTTGGATATAGATCTCATATATATCTTCATCCGATTTCGGGTTAAATGTGCACTAAATGGTCAATATCAGCCCAAATCACCAGTCTAGAAGCTAATACGTAAAATTTGGAGAAACCCGGTTCAGAGATAGCTATAGTTCGTAAAATGCACGATAGAATTAGATAGATTTTGATTTTGTACCAAATATCTCATAGAGCTCTGAAATGCCCTGTATAAACCTTTTTACGAGAGCTCTACTAAATATGCATAGTGGTGTAGGGTATCATATAGTCGGCCCCGCCCGACTTTTGAGCTTTCCTTACTGGTTCTAGAAGACTTTGAACTATCTTCCTCGGTATTTTTTCAGATTCCGCCTTTATTTTTTTCGAAAAATAATTAATTTCAATTTTACTTTTCAGGACCACCCCAAGGGTTTCACTGGCGTTGTGGCGCACAAAAGTAAACTCTTCAAACGTGAAATTATGGCCTACAAGGAAATAATACCACGCGTCGAAGAACTACTCGCATCGATTGGTGATACAACCAAGGTAGCACCGGCCTGTTATTACACCACCGAATCCCCTCAACCATTCCTCGTTTTAGAGGATATGAATTTGACTGGCTTTGAAAATTTCGAAAATGGACGTTTACTCAATTTGGATCATGTCCTACCGGTTATTGAAAAATTAGCCAAGCTACATGCCTGTTCAGCTGTCATTGCTGCTGAAAATCCTAAAATTATGGAATTCTTTGAAGAGGCACCCATATCACGTAATCCCGATCGTAAAGATTTCCTAACATTCTTCCCCGTCAACATTCGCTGTGTAGCCGAGGAGATTGCCCATTGGAAGGGTTTCGAAGAAATCACTGAGAAAATGTTTAAATTGGCCGAAAATGTTTTACCAGCCGCCGTGGAAATGTATGAATCGCATGAAAATGGTTTCCGGGTGTTTAATGTGGCCGATTTGTGGGTGGATAATTTGATGTTCCACATTAACAATGAGACCAAGGAACCGGATAATGTGGTTTTGGTGAGTAAGATATTTTTATTAACAAATTATAGCTTGCACACCCTATAAAATTATTTGAACCTTTTCGAACGAGTGTTTAATAATTTTAAAGGAAGCTGACATAGTTAGATGTTATAAATTTTAGTAATTTATTTCTATTGTTCTTATTCTCTTCCAGTTGGATTTCCAATTGGCCTACTATGGTTCCCCAGCCATGGATTTGAATTACTTCCTTTATGGCTCTTTAAACGAAAATGTACGCAAGGTCCATTTGAAATATATTGTTCGGGAATACCATCGCATCTTCAAAGAAACTTTACAAAAATTGAACTATGAAGGTGATATACCCTCGTTGAAGGATATTACCATTGAAATCATCAAGAATAGTTTACAAGGTATGACAGAATGGAAATTATCCCGTATATATCGATAATATTACGTTTTATCTCCATAGCTGTCATTGCTGCCACCTGCCTTACACCCATCATTTTCATGGAAAAAGATGGTTTCCAAAATCTGGAACATCTGACCTCCCGCACCGAAGAAGGCGACCAGCTGCGTCGTCAAAATGTTGAAAACATGAAATATCGTCAATTTTTACAGCGCACTGTTAAAGAATTCGAATTGAGTGGTTTCCTAGACCTTTAAAGTATTTCCTTCGCCGTTATCTTAGTTTGTAAGCTTTATTCGTGTTTTTTTTTTCGGATGCCTTGTTTTGTTATGAAATATTATGAGCAATTTCTATTCACATAAAGTATTTTTTCAAACAAAGTATTCAAATTTGTTATTATTTTCCTATATGCAATTACAACACTACCAAGTTTGTAACTTATTATAGAACTATGATGTTCGGTATTGTCATTTTGCGTTACAAGTTCGCAACGCCGTTAACTAATGCCTCTTCTCCCACGCAGCATATTATTTCAGGTTTAATGTTAAAATTGCCCTTACAATTATGTATATTTGAAAAATAAGCTTTAGAGAGGACATTCAAATGAATAGTACCATTTGAGGGGTTTTCAGACTTCAGATATCAAAGAAGGTGCTGTTGTTGACGAAGACACATGTGCTTAAGAAGCTGGAATTTTCTAATAACCACTCGAACGTAAAAATTAAACAAGTAAAAAAGCTGTAAATTCGGCCGGGCCGAACTTTGAACCCTCCACCATTTGGAACGAATTTGGCAATTCTCAAAAACAATAAAACAATTAAAAATTCTATTAAAATCTTAAAAAAGCCGAATGTAGCTTTTATATTAGGATCTATACGACGACATGGACATGCATAGGTAATTTTTGACCCAAGCCATTACAATATTCAAATGCGAAACTTAAAAAAAAATCGGTGAATAATGTCGCTAAAATCTTTAAAATACCGGATATCGGGAGGTATTGGTAAATGGGGGCTATATGAAGACGTGGCCTTGCACAGACAATCTCTTGTCATAGGCTGTAGCATCCATTACGAACTACTAATACCAAATTTGAAACAATTCCGATGAATATTGTCGCTGAAATCATCAAAATACCGAATATCGGGAGGTACCTTTATATGGAGGCTATACGAAGACGAGGACCAGCACAAACAATTTTCTGTCATAGGCTGTAGTATTTATTGCGAACTTCAAATACCAAATTTGAAACAATTCTGAAGAATAATGTAGCTAAAATCATCAAAATACCGAATATCGGGAGGTACCGTTATATGGGGCTCTACAAAGACGTCGACCTGAACAGACAATGTTCTGTCTTAGGCTGTAGCATCCATTACGAACATCAAATACCAAGTTTGAAAGAATTCCGGTGAATAATGTCGATAAAATCGTCAAAATACCGAATATCGGGAGGTGCCGTTATATGGGGGACATACGAAGACGTTGATCTGCACAGACAATTTTCTGTCTTAGGCTGTAGTATTCATTGCGAACTTCAAATACCAAATTAGAAAGAATTCCGGTGAATAATGCCGATAAAATCATTAAAATACCGAATATCGGAAGGTACCATTATATGGGGGCTATACGAAGACGTGGACCTGCACAGACAATTTTCTATCGTAGGCTGTAGTATACATTACGAACTTCAAATACCAAATTTGAAACAATTCCGGTGAATTATGTCGCTAAAATCATCAAAATACCGAAAATGGGAAGGTACCGTTATATGGGGGCTATACCAAAACGTAGACCTGCATGGCCTATTTTCAACACCAAAAGTCCTGCAGACATAATATATATCTGAGTAAAACTTTATCAATTTACTTCAATTCGTTCGGAAGCTAGAGTGATTTCCATAGACGGGCAGACAGGACAGACGGACGGACATGGCTAAGTCGACATAGTATTTTATGCTGATCAAGAATATATACATATATATATATATATATATATATATATATATATATATATATATATATATATATATATATATATATATATATATATATATATATATATATATATACTTTGAGGGGTCTAAAATGTATATTTCGAGGCGTTACAAACGGAATGACAAACTTAATATACCCTCCATACTATGGTGGAGGATATAAAAATGAATATTTAAAAATTATCAGCTTCCCATATAATATCACAAAATATAATGCGATGTCGTAATGTGTGAGATAATTGAGGATATGACCCACACACACAGATATCGATGCGCTCAGTAGATATGCAAGACCACTTGAATGATAGGACAAGCAATGTTCTCAATTCAATATTGGAATAGTTAAAATAATTGTGTGGCTTCGACTGGGTTAAGCTAGATTAGTTCTAGAATCGAAACTACATCCAAAGAATTTCTCATATTTTACACTTGGTCCTTCGAGCCGGATATAGAGTCGAAGATAGTGTTCCTAGAGAAGATAGTGTTCCTTTCTCGCCTTGTACAGGTCTTGTCTAGATGAAAGGGTGTCTAATAGACTTCCTCAGAAATATCTTTTCAAGAGACTGTCAGCAGTCAGTCTTGTATTCAAACCTCCATTACGATGGAGGGTGTCCAATATAAGGTATGAGTAACTTTCGAATACAGAAGACCTTTTTCTAACGTTTGATTTTTTCTTCAACTTGTATATTTGCGTAAATATGAGTTCCACAGATAGAAGATTTTTTACATATATCTCTCACAAGTCTATATTTTGTCCCGCATCTCCATTTTTGGATTCAAAAAACTTTCCAATAAAAAAGCCACCCGTTTTTCGTTAGCCTCCTTGTCGTCACTTTAAAATTACACATAAGGGCAAAATTATATCACACAAATGAAATAAAACACTTAAAACTAAACCACACCCCAAAAACTTAAAATTTAAAATAATTTTTAAAACTCTCTCGCCCCACTTCCCTCATTGATTCTTGTCGAGGAGACCTCGTTGATCATAGACAGGCAATAGCTGGCGTATCATGCGGTGAACATAAGGATTGGTGTAGCAAGTGTTCTTAAAACGTATGGCCCGTTCATTGGTCTGCATGAGGGCATTAAAATCGGCATCGTCGTTAATGACATTCCGCTGGATCGGTTGGACCACACAGGTGGAGTGCATAGCTGAAGGAGGGAAAATAATATTTTTATATTTAATTTTACCAAAAAAAATTGGTTCTTACCATAAAATGATTTCTCCTGCAGCTGTTGATGGAACTCATGCAAGGTTGGTATTTTACCTTGGTATCTCAACTTCTCCAATGTCTTCCTGAGATAAGTGTAGTAGTGGTGTATCAGCTCATCCTGTTTGTGTAAATGCATTTCCTCGGTCAACGAAGTATTCATTAAGTAGAACAAATCCACTGCCGGTGTGGTCCAGGCGGAATACTGGAAATCAATGATAATCACATCCAACGGTTTCTTGGTTTTCTTGTCATATTTAACCAAAACATTGTTGGTCCACAGATCTCCATGAGCAAAAACATTGAGGTGTGAGGGTAAGGGATCGAAGATCCTTTTACCCAATTCCATGTAGAAGGGGGTCAGCTCCACCAATTTCTGGTGTAAATCTTTAAATTCCGGCCATTGGGCCACTCTGCGGGTACAGGCCTCAAAACAGCCCACGAAACAGGGAGCATAGACCTCGGTGTGACGATTGAACATACCCTTGTCGAAATGCTCCAAACAGTGGGGTTCACGTTCATTTAACACCGCCGAACAGGCATGCATTTTGGCCAGTTTTCTCAACACGATTTTTGTGGTGTCCATGTCCAAACCTTGCAGACGATCGGGCATTAGGAAATCTCTTTCATTTAGATCTTCAAATACCAAGGCTGACTTTTGGCGATCCACAGTCATGGTTTCGGCAAAGATTTGCTCCTCATCACCAATTTCCTTGAGTAGGGCTTTCAGTTTGGGCAGTACCTCTTCATAGATGTCTATTTCACGATTGAAAATATCATAGGGTTCCATGGTTTTGCAGGCAAATTCATCACCCTCAAACGAGGTCTTGACAATGTAGCCTCCCTTCTTCAAACAGCCTTTGGAGTTTTTGTACTCAGCCTTGACCCGGGTCAGGACACCACCATAATTTTCACCCTTACCCAAGGCTGGTTTAGCATGCAGTTTCACAATTTTTATGCAATCATCCTGGAAGTAAGATCTCAGACATGACTCCAAATAATCTTTGGTGAACCATTCCGGACAGTCTTCAATGCAGATGTCTTCTGCACACTTTTTGGCCTTGGGCAAAGACTTTTCAATATTGGCAATTATTTCCGATGCAGACATGTTTTGGCAGGCTTTTTTCTATTTCCGAGATAAGGTCCTTGTAAAAGAAATTCCAGATCTAATCTTCTTCAATTATCTACTCGACATTGTCTGCTGGCTAAGTTGTAACCAGGCAATGACGCTGTTCCTCAATTCCGTTACTCTATATATTTCAGTTTTTTAGGGTTTTGATATCTAAACTTGGCATTTCGTGTTGTTGCTGTTGTTGTTGTCCAAGCTTATTAATTTTGATTTATGTCCGTGACTTTTTCACGGCAGCAGCAGCAACGTTGGCTACTCGTAATGCGCTTAAGCCATATGCAAATATTCTCCTCCTTTGTGTGAAGCAACAAAAATAAATATTTAAATAGATTTGGTTAGCTGACGAAACTGACGGCAGACAAGGGGAATAAAAAATGGTTATATATTCGGGATCATAAATGGCAGATGCCTCAATGTAATTTTGTATTTACCTGGCTTCCAGAGGAGCTTTAAGTGAAAGGTTTGCGTTTATGGTAGATTGAAGCATTCCTAAAACCAAAATTCTTAAGAAGCACTATGTGGTCTAAGGAATGGGATACGGCAATTTTTGGAGATCAATTTGAGATAGAACCGGTGGATATCTGACGGCAATTCCCATTTTTAGACATGTTGACTACATAGAACTCAAATTCTCTTGAACTACCCGAAATTTATCCCAAGGTCCCAAATTCGATTCTCTGAAAATCTGGAGTATTGAATATTTTTTTTGATGCCTACCACAACCTTATTGTCCGCCTTTGTATTTCCAAGGACATGCCTTGGAACATCAACATCAACATTTAATTACAAAATTCCTCATTTTATATCCCCGCTGTAAATCTCCAAGATTTTTATTGCTGCCATAATTTCAATTGGCCTTGCTTTGTTCGACTGACTCGATTAGATAATCCCATTTACCCTTTCGTCAGAGCGTTGATATTCATTATTTAAGTAAATCATAAAATGACACTTGCCTTCGTCGTGGCTAAATTTATAGACGTATAATATTTTCTTAATTGACTCGGCGGTCAGCAGCGCATCTGGAAACCAACAGCAGTGGCATTCGACTTGCTGCCGAAGCTGGCTACTGTCATCACTGGTTGGGTAATAAAAAATCACGATTCAAACATTCTTTGGTCACCGAAAATGAGACCTGAGAGAATGCATTTTCATTTCCTTACTACACTGTTTCGAAATGTGCATCGGAATTGGGATAGTTGGCGATACTGATGAGAGCAATAGAATGACTGAGGATCACGTCACTGGATATGCCTTCTAAAAATGTGCAACACTTTTAGGGTGGGGACAAGGGGTTGGGAAATTGCATTTTAAAGTAAGAAGCAATTAAATAAGACCCAAACCTGACTTTATAGTCGGACGATTTTTTAGGTTGTCTATTAGATTTGAAATTTGATTAATGAACCCATTTTTTTCTATTGAAAGTCAGGTCCTCAAAAATGCTCTTATTTAAATAAAAAATGTATGGCTTGCGTAAAACCTGAAAAATATTCATAGTAATGTATAAGGTCAGTTATTCTGAAGATAGAAGCTCCCCGAACACTACCTATAGATTATAAAACTTTCAATGACCTTTCATAATTAATTTCTCAAAATTGTTTTAAAAAAACGGATCGAGACGGGATTGTGTCCGATATATTGGCATTAGGTCTAATGGAACTTTTATATTCCCCACCATAAGGGAGTTACAATTACAAAGGTGATAATGCTTCCAAATCTTGTACTAATATTGAACAAATATTTTTGGAATATGATTTTCTTCCTTATCAGAAATCCAAATACCAAATTTCAGAACGTCCCTTAAAAATTTCTACAAAGAAACTAATGATAGGGCGGTGCAGTTTAGATTTTCAAAAACCAGATTTAAACATTTTTAAGAAAGACCTCTTTTTTTATAAAAGTTTAGGCCTTTCGGTAAGAAAAAAAATGAAAGGAAGTTCCTTCCTCTCAAAGAGGTACCCAGAGTGAGGGCCTAATTGTCCTGCTCCTAATCGTAATTTTTAGTATATTTTACAAGTTTAAGTAAATGTTTCTATAGTACGAAAATTCTCTAATATGATTTTAAAATTGCTTACCGTGTGCGTCTCGAGTTCCACTGAGTTTCCAGTCAATTTGCTTGCAAATTGTGGCTAAAATAAAATACTGAAAATCAGGAAGTCCCAATAAATGGAAGCTGCTGCGAATTAAAAACCATTTCGAATTTTTTTAGTTCCGATTCAAAGTGAGCAAATACCACCTGAATTCCTTGGAATGTCAAATCTTGGGAATTGTGGCGAGTCGGATCGAATACTATCAAAATTGTATTATTATTGAGGGAGGATCTTTTAGAGGGTTCTGTAGAAACAAAAATACCCCAAGTCTTTCATAGAAAAAGGAATAAAAACGTCTTTGGTAGGCAGAACATGTTTTGGTCCATTTGTTGGTTTGGTTGTTTTGTTAAAGAGATAAGTATTTCGGGAGAGAAGGTTTGAAAAAGAGTTGTGAATAAAAGACCTTTAGAAGTTATTTTATTGAGAGAGGATCAATAGAAAATATTTTTTTTCTAGAGTAGGTATTTTATGGAAAGAAGGACATCAGAAAATATTCTATAGAAAATGACCTTAGGATGTTTTTCTATAAAGAAAATGTCTGCTATAGTAAGAAGGTCTTCTGTTATAGAAGATTTTCTCACGAGGTCTTCTAAAGAGAAAATGAATTTAGAAGATCTTCTATAGAGAGAAGAACTTCAGAATGCATTCGACAGAGTGAGGACCTTTAGAATATGTTTTAAAGATAGAGTTTCTTCAGAAAATCTTCTACATGGTGAAGATCTTCTATAGAAAAGGCAAAGACGACCATCCAAAAAGAGAAGGACTCCTATAGAAATATGTCTCCAGAAGATATTCTATAGAGTAAAGGCTTTCAGAATATATTCTACAGAGATCCTTCTAAGGAAGAAAGCCGTTAACAGAAGAAAAAGAAAGAAACTTCAGAAAGTAGTTTATAGAGAGTATTATATAGAGGGAGGCCTGCACAAAGAAATGTATTGAGAGAAAATCTTCTATGGAAAGAAGGTATTTTATAGAAGGAAGCCTTCAGAGGGTCTTCTATTGGGAGAGGATCTTCATAATGTCTCTTATAGAGAGATGGCCTTCAGAAAAACTTTTATATAGAGAAGGACGATCTTCTATAAAGAAAACGCATTTTAAATAAATAGTTAGAAAACCTTCGAGGCTTCCAATAGTCAGAGAAATTAAAATGCCTTTTGTAGGTAAAAAAATTCAATGGTATTCAGACGAGAAATACCTTCTAAAAGACTTCTGGAGATAAAAAAGCCTACTTAAGGTCTTCGGAAGACAAATCACCTTCTAAAACCTCAAACTATCAAAGAATAAAAGGTTTTTTTTAAAACAAATTCTTTAGAAGGACAACTATAAGCATGGACATAAGAAATGTATTTTCCCTACTTTAGAGTCTCCTGTATAGAGAGAAGACATGTTCCATAGGCAACCTTAAAAAGCCTTGTTAAGATGAAAACTCTTCGCACTATCCTCTGTAGATAGAAAAACTCTCTATGGTCTTCTGCATATGCTCTTTAAAATGTCTCTTAATAAAAAGAGATATCTAAATCTCTTCTGTAAACAGAGATTTTTATAGAGAGAAGAATTTGGAAAGGCCAATTGTAAAGAATAAAAAACTCCAAAAGTACTCATATAGTCAGAATTCCTCTAGAGAGGAAATATTTAAAGAAACTCAGTATATAGGTAAAATATGCTGAGATCTTCTTCGACTCTTAACGCTCTTCGTTAGAGAGATAACTTCAAATGGTCTTCCACAGTGAGATCTTTGTAATTTCTTGACGTAATTCTTTTTAAGAAAGACATTAGAAAGAAAGAGAGAACTTATTAAAATTGTATTCTATAGGCACTATTCTTTCGAAAGGTACTTCAAAAGAAAAACAAATTACAAATGACATTTTTCAGACAGGAGATCTTCAAAAGATCCTCTTCACATAAAAGACTTAAAACTGTATATTTTCTAAAAGTCTGGATATCTTCTCAAGGTTTTCTTTAAAAAAGTCCTTAATTCGTTATTCTGTACAAAAGAAGAAGGTTTATTAAAAGGATATTCTTGAAATATCTCCTGTAGATATAATAAATTAAATCGGACTCATCTAGGGACGTACACAGAATGTTTTTCAGGGGGGTTGAGAAACCATCTTTCCAAAAATGTACTCTTTTATGTTCAGAAAATATTCAGAAAGTATCCATTGCGTACGTCCTGGATCTCCTTTACAAACAAGGACCTAAAATGCTATGCATAACTTACACGCATAAATAAATTTTCATATATTTAACAGTGTAAATGCATAGAAATGCAAACATTTTCATGAGAAATGGTGTAACAATTAATGTAAATAAGAGAAATTTTATCACTCACTGCTAGGTGAATAAAATCTCACATTTTTCCTCAGCGGTCAACAGAAATGCTTACATCCAAAAAGGTTCAGTCTAAAACAAACCGCAACATAAGACAAGTGTGAAATTCTAAATTCTCAACAAAATATTAGCACTAATTCACAAAAGAAACCCTTTAAACCATGTCAATTCCCAACTGGCTAACGCAGGACTACATTGAGGAAGTCCTGAAGCTATATCATCACGATGTAACTGTGAGAATAACAAATTTCGATATAAAAGCTGCCTTTGGTAAAGGTGAAAATTATGGTGGTGTTATGACCCGAATAAAAGTGAGCTACGATCGCCTTAATAGCACCATGAAGGAGGAGAAAAATTTGCTCGTGAAAAATTCTTATGAAGATGATGAATTTGCCAAGGAGAAAATGAAACCCTATGACATTTTCAATCGTGAAATGTCTATCTATGATCAGGTGTTGCCCAAGCTGAATCAACTAATGGCTGAGATCGGTGATAAGGATCAATTGTTTGCCAATGCCTTGTATACGGATTACAAGCGACAGGCTTTGATATTTGAAGATCTTTCGCAACAGGGTTTTGTGATGGCCAATCGCATTGAGCGTCTTGATGTGGAGCACGTCCAGTTGATCTTGAGGAAATTGGCAAAAATGCATGCGACCTCGGCGGTGCTCAATGAGCGGGAAAAGGGTTGTTTGGAGAAATACGATCGAGGATTCTTTAACAAATACACCGATACATATAAGACGTTTTTCGTTAACAACTTCTTGTCGTGTGCTCGATACTTGCAGAGGCAACCAAATTCGAAATATTATGCCGATAAAATATTCGCCATGGAACCGTACTACATGGATATTGGGTTGCGTTGCTTTACGCCCACGAAGGGACATGTGAATGTCCTTGCCCATGGTGATGTCTGGACAAACAATGTTATGTTCAAATATGATCCGGAAACCAAGAAGCCTATTGATGTAATATTAATTGATTTCCAATACTCCTTTTGGGGTTCTCCGGCCTTGGATTTACATCATTTCTTTAATACATCGTTGAAGGAACCGTTGCGTAGGAATCATCAGGATGCCTTGTTTCAATATTATCATCATTGGTTTACGGAGACTCTGGGGAAACTGAAATATTCCTCCAGTCCCATACCAAGTTTGAAGACGTTCCATCAACATGTCGAACAGAAGAGATTTTTTGGTGAGCATTTATTTGAGAATGATTTTATTTCTTTGTTTTAATACTTTTATTTTTGTTTTAGCCTTGCATTCGGGAGTTGTCATCCAACCAGTCATGTTGAATCAAGATCCAACCGATGCTGATTATCAGGCTTTAATGGATGTAGATGAGAAGGCCATGAATTTCAAAGCCCGTCTTTATAACAATAATCCCATTATACAGGAAAATCTCAAATTCCTATTGCCATATTTTGACCACAAAGGACTTTTGGAGGTCGATCAATGAGGAGTTTGTTTGGAAAGAATTGGAAGGAGTACTTAATTTTAAGGTTTATTTTGAACCCCAGATTTGGTTACATAAAAAAATATTATTCGTAATTAGAGGAAAATAAATGGTAAGCAGTTATACTTCTGCAGGGGAAAGAGGTGGAAAATAATCAAGAAATCCTATAGGCATATTCTATAGGCATATTCTTTTTTGCAAAACTTTGGAAGGATTAAAGGATATTTTATTAAAACAAGCTCTTATATTATTTTGTGAAAATGTTCTTCTGGGGTTTGAAAAGGCGAAAAATTAGCTTTCCATATAAAATGTGCAAAAAAAGTCTAGACGTCTGCCCCTCCAGGCCTACCAGGTTCCACCTACAACTTTTTTCTAGAGTGAACATCTAAGAAGGTCCTGTTAAGCGGTTTATCGAAAGGTATTTTTAAATTGGAATATGTTTTTATTATCTAGGGAGTAAAGGTGGAACAGAGTAAAGGTAGGAACCTTTTTCAGGAAGCCTTTTGCCGAAAAAGACGTCATATATAGAGAGTCGAAAAAAACAACTTTTATATGAAAAATGTCAAAAATCAACCCCTTAGCTCTGTATCAATATTATTGGAGATATTTTGAAAAGAGGACCTTCAACAATTTTATTGACATCAGTTACACCAACAGACTTCATCAGATAACTGATCTATAGCCAAACCCTATACAAGTTTCCATACAGACTAGCTGAAGACCAACAGGGCCCGGAGAATACGCTGTCGAATACCTGAAACATGTGGATACACCCTATGGACCTTGGGAGATTCCCCTATGGACCCAGGGAGGTTTCACCTATGGTCCCGGGGAGATTGTGTCAATGATCATATGATGACTTCCTTTGTGGCCCATGGGAGAATCTCTCAATGGTCCCAGGGTGACTCCATTTATGTCCCCGAGGAGATTCCACTATGAGGGGTTCCGTATGGGTCCTGGGGATTCCTCCATGGGCCCTGGAGATTTCCCTATGGGTCCTGGGGATTCACATATGGGCCCGGGGATTCACAGATGGGTCCGGGGAATTCCTTTATGGTTCCTGAGGATTGCCTATGGGTCCGGAAGATTTCCCTTGGGGTCAGGGGATTCTCCTATGAACGCAGAGAGTTCCTCTATGGGATATGGGGATTCCCTTATGGGTCCCGGTGGGACTCCTCTATGAATTACGAGATTCACCTATGGGTCCTGGGGATTCCCCTATGGTCCGGGCGATTCACCTATGGGTCCGAGGGATTCACCTACTGCCCCCCAGCTAGTCTATGTAGAAACTCGTCTATATAGACTACCTGGTCTCCAGCTCGCCTAAAGAGAATCCTTGGCCCTCAAGCTCGCCTATAGAGACTCCCTGTCCTCTAGCTCGTCTTTAGAGACTTCCTGGCATTCAGGTCATCTATGTAGACTCTCTGGCCTCCTGCTCGTCTACAAAGACTCCCCGACCTCCAGCTAGTCCATGTAGACCCCCTGGCCTCCAGCTAGTCCATGTAGACCTCCTGGCCTCCAGCTCGTCTATGTCGACTCCCTGGTCTGCAGCTTGTCTATGTAGACTCCCTGGTCTCCAGCTTGTCTATGTAGACTCCCTGGCCCTTCAGCTCGTCTATGTAGACTCCCTGGCCCTTCAGCTCGTCTATGTAGACTCCCTGGCCCTTCAGCTCGTCTATAGAGACTCCCTGGCCCTTCAGCTCGTCTATAGAGACTCCCTGGCCCTTCAGCTCGTCTATAGAGACTCCCTGGCCTTTCAGCTCGTCTACAGAGACTCCCTGGCCCTTCAGCTCGTCTATAGAGACTCCCTGGCCCTTCAGCTCGTCTATAGAGACTCCCTGGCCTTTCAGCTCGTCTACAGAGACTCCCTGGCCCTTCAGCTCGTCTTTAGAGACTTCCTGGCATTCAGGTCATCTATGTAGACTCTCTGGCCTCCTGCTCGTCTACAAAGACTCCCTGACCTCCAGCTAGTCCATGTAGACCCCCTGGCCCACCAGCTCGCCTATAAAGAAACCTTGCCCTCCAGCTCGTCTATGTACTCTTCCTGGCCTCCAGCTCGTCTATAAAGACTTTCTGGCCCACCAGCTCGTCTATGTCGACTCCCTGGTCTCCAGATCGTCTATTTCGACTCCCTGGTCTCCAGATCGTCTATTTCGACTTCCTGGTCTCCAGCTCGTCTATATAGACCCCTCGACTTCCACCTTTTCTATATAGATACCCCGTCTTACAGCTTGTCTATAAAGACTCTCTAGCCTCCAGCTCGTCTATAAGGACCCCCGGATCTCCAGTTCGTCTATGTAGACTCCTTAATCCCCAGTTCGTCTATATAGACTCCTTGGCCTCCAGCTCGTCTATAGATACCTTTAACCCCCAGCTCGTCTATAGATACCTTTAACCTCCAGCACTTTTATATAGACTCCTGGACTTCAGCTGGTCTATATAGACTTCATGGCCCACCAGCTCGTCCTAATAGAAACCCTGGCCTGCAGCCCCTCTATACCAACCCCCTGACTTCCAGCTACTCTGTAAAGACCCCTGATGTCCAGTTCGCATATATATAGAGTCCCTGATCTAAAACTCATATTCATAGACTCCATGGTCTCCAGCTCCTCTATGTGGACTCCATTGTGTCTATGTAAAGTACGTCAGCACGTCTATATAGACTTCCGTCTCGTCTATATGACCTCCCTAGCATCGAGCAGGCCATAAACACTCTTTAAGCCAATCTCTTTTGCACTCATTCTATATATTCATCTCTCTCTCTCTTTCTCTCTCCCATATAAATCATAACCCTTTGTTCTTTTCGAAAGATCGTAACAAAATCCGATACACATTTCATTGAATTCAGCCATTCCGCTAAACTGAAACGCCTGTAATGAAGCCTAATAATAGACATGGTTAAGATAAGCTTAATTGCTTTACTAAACAAAGTGTCATAAAAAATTTCAGATGTGACATTTATATTAATGACATTTATCTCAATTAAAATTTCACAATGTAAATATAGGAGCGAGATAGCATCAGTAAAAAATAACAGTGGAGGCGAACTTCAAATGCCCTTATTAGGAAATTTCAATAGCCACACTTAATGACTGAAGAAAATACAATACATTTTCCAGGAAATATGTGGAAAATACACCAGAAAAGAAATTTAGGATATAGGGTTCCCAGAAGTTAACTCAAATTCAAGTTGTTGAAGATTATTTTATCCTGACCTTCCTATATAGATATAGATAATCCCTACTTCCTATTTATTTTATCTAGTACCACCTGTACAACACAATGCCAGATATGGCGTATAAAAAGAAAATCTCATAAAAAGGTATAACACCTCCGTTATCAGCTAACAGAAGCTTTTATCTATTCTAATAGTCCGCAACGGGCACACTGTTCGACACGCGTCCATTAAAAGTTAACTATGAGTGAAACGATTTCCTGGGAAGCGCCACAATGGCTAAATAAAATGTATCTAGAGGATGTGCTGAAAAAGTATCTGCAAGATGACACGGTTCGGCTGCAGGGAATGGAACTGAAACCAGCCACGGCCAAGGGTGAAAATTATGCCAGTGTTATGACAAGAATAAAAGTCTCATATAAAACGGCGGGTGATTCCAAGATCCAAACTATGCCCATGATTATGAAATGTTCCTACGAAAATGATCCCTTTGTGGCGAACATTATGAACGGCTACGATGTATATAATACCGAAATGAAAATGTACGAACAGGTATTGCCTAAGATTGCCAAAATTCTCAAACAATCCGGAGACAATGAGAAAATATTTGCCACAACCTTTAAAGTGGACTATGAGAGGTGTAGCATTATCTTTGAGGATTTGGCAGCAACAAATTATGGCCTTGCCGATCGTCTTAAGGGTTTGGATAAGGATCATACCCTTGTGGTTCTAAAGAAATTGGCGAAGTTTCATGCAGCTGCAGCAGTGTTAAATGAACGTATGGATGGTGCCTTGGAATCGTTTCAGAGGGGTTTATTTAATCGCCATACTCGGGGTTTGGGTTGTATGTTCGAGCATTTTACCGAAACCTGTGCAAATTTTGCCAAAACTTGTCCCGACCTGGGTGTGTATTATTATGATAAGCTTATGAAACTCCAGTCCCATGTTGTGGAATATGGCATCAAGGCCACCTCGAAGTGGAATGAAGCAGATTTTTATACCTTATGCCATGGTGATTTGTGGATCAACAACATGTTAATGCAGTATCGGAATTCTAAGAGTTCTCAACAGAAATTGGAGAATCTGCTATTTGTGGACTTCCAATTCAGCAATTGGTCTTCACCGGCAGTTGATTTGTATTATTTTTTCAATACCTCGCTGGAGCCGGAGTTGCAAATGGATGTCCATTTCTTGGCTGAAATGGTACAATTCTATCATTCAATTTTGAGTGAAATGCTGAAGAAATTCAAGTACAACGGTCACGTGCCGACATTGCATGAGTTGTGGGTCCAATTGGAGGAAAGGAAGTTTTTGGGTAGGTGAAATTAAAAATATTTATTAAATAAATTTGAAATTACATAATTCAAAAAAATATTTTAATATTTCTTCTAGCCCTTATAACGACCCTGACAAACCAGGCAGTGGCCACAGTGGACGAATGTGATGATGCTGACTTCCATTGTTTGGTCGATGATACCGACAGAGCCAAGAAGTTCCGTTTGGACTGTTATAGAAATAAACGCCATCAAAATATTATTAAACAAATTTTGCCATACTTTGATCGCTGTGGTTTGCTGGATGTACAATAAAAAGGGTTTGGAATAAGAGTGTACTTTCAATTCAACTTCATGGTTCCTCAGTAGACAATCCTTCTCCCAACATTCAATATAGGGGAGCATTCATTTTGGTTTGATAAAAAATAATCATTTTTTTTTGTGTTTGAAAGATAGAAAACCCTACAAAGTCCTTCCATAGCTGAGGGATTTTATGAAGGTTCTTTATAGATGGAGTGCCTCAGACGAACTTTTTTTCTGTGACTGTGTGGGATATCCCAAGTTTTAAAAGATTCGGATCATTTTGTATTTAATCAGGGTTGTGTTTATTGAAAATGTTGACCCGTTGTGGAGAAGTTTTCGGAAGGAGTGGTTCGGCATATCCTATCTCCATACCAGATTTAGAGGTATATTGGGATAAGCAAAAGGCAAAGACTCTTACTTCGCATTCTATAAGTCATGATTTCCCCTAATTTTAACCCTTTGTGGGGGTGGGGGGGTAAACGTTGACCTTTTTTGGGTAAGGAACACGAAGAAGTGAAGTGATACTTTAACTGGTACTAAGTTATATAATCGTAAGCACCAGCCAGACGGGAGAACAAACGGACACCGCTAGATCGACTCCAAATGTCCTTAAAAGGATTTCGTCCAAGGGTCTCACATCGTTCTTTCGATGAGGCACGTTTTGGTCATATTAAATGATATCTAATCTCTTTTGTCATATGGCTGAGGGTATATTTTGTCATTGCGGAGGAGGGCTCTTATCCTGCATACCTCCTTGCATTGTATATCATCTTTTCCTAGAAGATTTGAATAAGGCTTTCTGTCCATAAAAAATCGCAGGAGCAATTCTTTTCCTAGATGACATGAGAGAGAGACCTACACAAAGTTATCTATCCATGCAAGATCTGTAGGCGGTAAGAAGACCAATAAGACATTTCCTCTTCAGAAAGTACACTTAGAAGAACCTTTTAATAGTCTTCATTCCATACCGGACAAATTCCAAAGTTTGGGCCAAATCTCTCTTCATGAGTTATCATGCACGAGCCAGACAGCTTGTCGAACGGACATTGCCGAATCGACTCCAAAGAGACCTAGAGTCTAAACCCGTTATTTCTGTAGTAATTTGGCTAAGGGTATAATTAGTCATTCCAGATGAGGCCTAATCCTGCTTACTTCCTTGTGTTTTAGGTAATTTTACCTTGAATATCTGAAGGAGATTTACTATCCATGAAAGACCTACAGAAGAACTTTTATTCCTAAAATACACGTGAGAGATAATACAAAACTTATAGAAAGTTCTCTTTCCATACAAGACCTGTAAGCGGTATCCGGTCCTAAGAAGACCAAGGAGGGCATATTTTCTTAATAGACCTGCATGAGGTCTTCAGTCTATACATGACGTATATCAAAAACCTGTTATATATTCCCTTGTATGAATTCTTGACCTCCATTGTGGGCAGAAAGTCTTCTAGAGACTCATGTCAAGAAGGTTCTCTGTCCCTAAAAGACCTGCAGGAGGACACGAGGGAGATATTCTGTCAATACTAAACCTATATAAAGTTCTCTGTCCATAAAAAAAACCTGTAGGCGGTATCCGGTACTAAGACACATCTATTCAGAAAGAACAGGTAGGAAGCCACTTTTTTTAATATTCGACCTATAAGAAGTCTCCGGCATATTAAAGACCTGTTAGAGATCTCCTTCAGACTATACATGATTATAGGAATATCAAAAACCTGATGTATATCCCCTGTAAGAATTCTTGATTTCCATTATGGGCAGAAAGTCATCTAGGGAATCATGACAAAAAGGCTTTCTGTCAATAAAAGACCTGCAGGAGGACATGAGGGAGATATTCTGTCAATACTAAACCTATATAAAGTTCTCTGTCCATAAAAAAACCTGTAGGCGGTATCCGGTACTAAGACACATCCTCTATTCAGAAAGAACAGGTAGGAAGCCACTTTTTTTAATATTCGACCTATAAGAAGTCTCCGACATATTAAAGACCTGTTAGAGATCTCCTGTGAGTATTCTTGACCTCCGTTACGATGTCTGCTGATCTCTCCCCGAAAAAAGCTTGTCATTTGACCCTAGAAGCCTCATGTCAGTCCAGAAAAGTTGTGTTGGACGTCTATAAAAGCTCTTTGGAACGTCTTTATAAGGATCTCCATTTGTTAGGTAGACAGGTAGACGGTCTGAAGGACATCGCTAGATCGTCTCCAATCAATATGACATCTTCTGTTCAGAAAATAATAGTAGGTCCTTTTTTTTAAAGAGAGAAAAGTCTCCGGCATATAGAGATCCCCTGTAAAAATTTTTGGCCCGCGACAAGGCGTCTTCTATAGATTGTATAATATATTGTATCTTCTACCTATAGTATAAGGTTTCCCTATCTGTACGAGGTCTTCTGTTCGTAGAATACATTTTGGAGGTAATTCTCTCCAAGAAAATCAATAGGAGGTCTTCTGTCCAAAATATGTCCTTAAATGAGCTAAAGAGGTCCTTTTGGGAAAAGAAGACATGTACATAAAAAGGGTTTTCAAGAAGTCTTTAGAATCTAGAAGACTTGTAAGATTTGTCTCCTGTCTCTGGAAGATCGAAAAGAGGTTCTTTGTACAGAGAAGACCTGAAAGATGTAGTCAATCCAACGAAGATCTATGGAAAATCTCTTGTTCCCTTTTGGGGGGGGGGGGGTTTATCATAGAAGACTAGCCTCTTGTACGTAGAAAATCATTTGCCCCGATAAGATCTCTTGAGGGTGTTTTTCCCAGGAATACCTAATAAAGATCTTTTTCCGAGATGATCTCCCGTTCCGTTTATGCCGTCCCCACTGTATTTCAATATTGTTCATTAGAAACACATTTAAATTAAGTGGATAGTTTGGCTGTTCGTGTGTATGTCTGTATGTATGTATATGTCACAATAAAGCTTGTCGTTTGTTCTGTAAAGTTAATTCCAGGCAGTATCAGTTGGAATAAGACCGCCGCACATAGACGAACTGAGATAGCGCTAGAATAGAAATTAAAAAAAAACTACACACAATGAGTGATAATACGGTTACATGGCAAGCTCCGGAATGGCTAAACGATTCAGAACTTTTGGAAAAAATATTAAAAGACTATCTCGGGGATGGTGAAGTGAAAATAGAAAAAATTGATTGGGAACCTGCCACAGCAAATGGTGAAAATTATGCCAGTATTATGACACGCATAAAAATCTACTTCCGTCTGGGTCAGTCGGAAGAAATCCAGGATTTATCGTTTATCATAAAATGTTGCTATGACAGTGATCCCGTTCTGCAAAATCTGATGAAAAGTTATAATCTCTATCAAACCGAAATGAAAATGTATGAACAGGTGTTGCCACAAATCACAAAAATTCTACAAGAAGCCGATGAGGGTGCATTGCAGGAGCAGCTGTTTGCAAAAACCCTAAATGTGAACTATGAACGGGCCACGATAATTTTTGAAGATTTGTCTGCGAAAAACTATGTCATGGGTAATCGTTTGGTAGGTTTCGATAAACTTCATGCCCGCTTTGTGATGGAGAAGTTGGCTAAATTTCATGCCGCCGCAGCTGTGTTAAATGAACAGCTCAATGGAGCTTTGCAACAATTCGATAGAGGTCTTTTTAATGAACATACTCGCGGTTTGGGTTGCATGTTCGAATACATGATTGAAGAAAGTGCTAGATATGCTCTCACCGTTGAAAGTTTGGGAAAATATTATCATGACAAGATAATGAAGCTGCTGCCGCATGTGGTGGAGTATGGCACCAAGGCTTATGCCACAAACTCACCTCACCACTTTTATACTCTCTGTCATGGTGATTTGTGGATCAATAATATTATGGTGAAATATGGGAACACTAACTCTACGGGGGAAAATGAGGAGGAGAGCCATCAGCAATTGGAGGACGTTTTATTTGTGGATTTCCAATTTAGCAGCTGGACCTCGCCGGCCATAGATTTGCATTATTTTTTCAATACCTCAATTGAATTTATGTTTATACCCTCCACCATAGATAGTATGGAGGGTACATTAGGTTCTTCATTCCGTTTGTAACTCATAGAAATAATAATTCGTCATTCCGTTTGTATCTCCTCGAAATAATAATTTTATACCCAACAAAGGCCTTGATCAGCGTAAAATTTCTAGTTAAAAGACTTGGCCCTGTCCGTCCGTCTGTTGAAATCACGCTAGAGTCCAAACGAATTAAAATTGGAAGCTCAAATTTTGCACAGATCAGTCTTTTGTCTGCAGGTCAAGTTCGAAGATGCGCCATGTCGGTCACCCATAAAACGGTACCCCATATATTCGGTATTTCGATGATTGTAGCCAAATTTGTCAATGGAATTATCTGAAAATCCACACAAGGAGTTCCTTCTGAGTTCTTTACCATCTGGAAGAATATTGTCTATACAGGTCCACGATATCGCATAGCCCCCATACAACGATCCCCCCGATATTCGGTATTTTGATGATTTTGGGAACACTATTCACTGGAATTGTTTCATATTTGATATTTGAAGTTCGTAATGGATACTACAGCTTATCACAGAAAATTGTCTGTGCAGGTCCACGTCTTCTTATAGCCTCCTTATAACGATACCTCCCAATATTCGGTATTTTGACTATCTTAGCGTCATTATTCACCGGAGAAGTTTCAAATTACGTATTTAGAGATCATAATGGGTACTACAGTCTATGACAGAAAATTGTCTGTGCAGGTCCAGGTCTTCGTATAGCCCCCATATAACGATACCTCCCGATATTCGGTATATAGATGATTTAAGCGACATTATTCACTAGATTTGTTTCAAATTTTGTATTTGAAGTTCGAAATGGATTCTACACCCTAAGACAGAAAATTGTCTATGCAGGTCCAGGTCTTCGTATAGGTCCAATATATCAGTACCTCCCTATATTCGGTATTTTGACGATTTTAGTCAATTTTTGTTTGAGATGTCGTATTTGAAGTTCGTAATGGATGCTCCAGCCTGTGACAGAAAATTGTCTATGCAGGTCCAGGTCATCGTATAGCTCCGATATAACGGTACCTCCCTATATATGTTATTTTTATGATTTTCGCTACATGATTAACCGTCCACGTCGATAGACCCCAATATAACGGCTATATTCGGTATTTTTAAAATTTTAACAGAATTTTTTAAGGATTTTATTTTTGAAAATTTCCAAATTCGTTCGAAATGGTAGAGGGTATTCAAAGTTCGGTCCGGCCAAACTTACTGCATTTCAACTTGTTTTTTTTTTTTTTTTTTTTTTTGAAGGACTGTTTTTGAAGCACCTGAATACTTCAGACCATGCTTGGTCTTCCGCAAAAAAATAGCACTGATATCTGTCAATGTAATTGTATCACTTTTGTGTAATAATGTTTTTAATTCGGGAAGTCAAATTTCAGTCGATAACTTAAAATGCGTTTTTATCGAAACTGAACTTTTTTTTGAGATGTGACACTCTTTGAGGTGTGACACTTCTTGAGTAAATGAGCGGCATGTAAAGTAATTTTTATAATTTTTGTATAGCATTTGTGTTGCCTATTTCTAAGCGCTCCCGACAATTTTTAAACCTAAAAGAATTGCTATATGTATAGTATGTACATATACCATATATAAATTAATATATACTTTACTATTGCAAAAATCGTCAGGCTTACTCTCATTATTGTTGATTTTATTAAACAACATTTGTTTATTAGTAGAGAAAGCATATCTTTTAGGTTTTTAAATAATATGTGGAGAGCGCCTAAAAGTATGCCATATATAAAAAAGTTAAAAGTAAATTTGGAAAAGTCAGTTTCATATGACTCTCACATGATGAAAGACCCCATATCTGTTCCCTTCGGTGGTGTTGCAGGTTATTTTCTGTGTTTTACTTCTCTTTATTAACTTGCTGTTCCTTTGTCTTCCAGCTGTTACTGGTATCCTCTCGGATCAAGCCATTGCCACCTCAGATCAGTGTGATGATGCCGATGTCCACTGTTTGATTGGCGACAGTGAACGTGCCCGAAATTTCCGACAAAATTGCTACAAAAATAAACGCCACCAGAAAATCGTTCAACATTTCCTGCCATATTTGGATCGGTATGGTTTACTGGATATACAAAATTAGTTTTAGCCTAACTATTTGTAATTAAGAAATAGATAATTGAAGTAAATTTATTAAAATATAAAATTGTTTTTGTGAAGTAGTATCATTGTAATTGCCTGTTCCAGAACAAAAATTAAAATATTATTAAAATAATGGCCTACTGAACATACTTCGTCGATTTAAAGATTATTTTTTTAAGGATACCTTTTTGACTCATAGAATTTTGTATATTAATGAGCCATAGAGCTTTAATTATGGATTTTTAAATAGTATATTTAGGGATTTTTAATTGTATATTTTCTCAAGATATTTCTTAATTCATAGAACCGTAATCGTGTATTTTTTAACATTTTTTAATGACCCATAGAGCTTTAAATATTGATTTTTGAAGAAAATTTTTAAGGCCCATAGGTCTTTAATTTTGAATATTTTAAAGAATAGATATTTAATCGCTGATATTTTAAGGAATATTCTAAGTACCTTTAGAAAGAGAGAGAGAGAGAGAGAAAGATTTAATTGTAGAACCTTTCAAAAGTACTAAGGACCCATTGAGCTTAAATTGTAAGGTTTTTATATCCTAGGCCATATGGCTAGAGATGCTATGTATAATTTGATACAGCCAAAACGTGACTCATCTAAATAACGATTTTAGACTCTAGGTCTCTTTGGACCAAATCTTTTTCTGCTTTATCTTTCTTTTTCTGTCTATCTGGTGTGCACAATAAATCTCAACGGGAGTATCCGATTTGGTCCAAACTTGGTTCTACGTATTATTATTATAAAACTTAAATCGAGTTCGGAGATGGGCAATACTACTCCTTCTTGTACCTTCCCAACAAAAGGTCGAAAATTTCAAACAAATATTTTACTGTACAGAAAGATAAAGGATGATCCGATTTGCTTAACTTTGGAACTCCTAATTTTTCCATCAGGTGCGAAAATGGACAATATCGGTCCACTCCATCAAATACCTCCCTTAAAAAAGTCATATAAAAGTCCGATTGTCTTCAAACTTCAAGGTCTGGTGTGAAGATATTTCGGTCCACTTCTTCCCCACAAAACATTTTCATTAAAAGGTCAACATGAAGCTTATAAAAATTAACATCCGATTCCATTCAGACTTGGCACATCTCAATATGTTTATTATCACAAGATCCGTAAGAAATATGACAGACATCGGATCATTCCATCTAGCACCTCCCCCACATAGGGTTAAAGTTTTGAGTAACCGAAACAATTATAAAATCCAAAAAAAAGGATCCGGTTCTCTTTATATTTCACACATCCCATTACTTCTACTAACACAAGACTTGCTGTGAAGATGGGGTATATTGGTCTACTCCTTCTGGTACCTCCCCCACACAGAATCAAAATTTCGAATATCCATGAAGCTCATAAAACGCCAAATTAACGTCCGATTCCATTCAGACCTGTTACATCTCACTATTTCCATCAACACAATATGGGTTATAAGATGGTAGAGATCGGACCATTACTTGTGGTACCCCCACATAGGGTTTAAGATTTTGAAAAACATAACGCTGATTCCTCATGCACATTTTAACATTTTCTAAAAATTATCACATGTCTCATATAAAGTGAAAAAAGTATCACTCCGTTTGTAACATCCCTAAATACTCGTCGTAGACCTCATAAAAGTATTCATGATCAGCATAAAATTCTACGTCTATTTAACGATGTCCGTCTGTCTGTCTGTTGAAATCACGATGATGCACACATTTTTTGACGTAGAGATTCAAAACTTGGCAGCACAATTTGTATTGTATCTAGGATAATTTGTATTGAAAATGGGATATATCTGTCCACGTTTTGGTATAGCCCCTTATAACGGTACCTACCAATATTCGGCACATTTTTTTCTCGGATTCGTCTTAAAATTGGTATTTGTGGGTGATAATGGGGTCTAATGTTTCCTTTACCCTAAGGTGGAGGATAATAAAAGTTAGGCCCGACCGAACTCAATGTTTTTATGCCCTACACCACAAGGTGGTCAGGGTATTTTGTCTTTGTGCATATGTTTGTAACAGGCAAAAGAAAACGAGATAGAGCCATAGTTCCTTTTGATGATCTGCATAGAATCACATTCTGAGTCGATTTATGCATGTCCGTCCGTCCATCCGTCTGTCCATGTATTTTTATAAACAAAGTACAGTTCGCATTTATTGCCCTATCCAGATGAAATTTTGCACAAATCATTTGTTTGGCCCAAGGACGAACCCTATTGAAATTGGAGATAATCGGTCAAAATTTAGATATAGCTCCCATATATATCTTCGTCCGATTTGCCTTTTATTGTGCATCAAACGTGTAATATCAGTTCGAATAGTATGGAATTTTGCACGTACGATCAGATTGGACCTGAAAATAAGTATACAAAATTTGAATTCGAAATCGGTTCAGATATAACTATATCTCCCATATATATTGTTCATCCGATTTGTTACTTTTGTCCTCCGCAGCCGTAATATGCACTCTGTAACAACAATATTTGGAGAAATATATTAGAAATACATTTGCTAAATTTTATCGAGATCGGTTCAGATTTGGATATAGCTCCCTAACTTTGTCAGATTTACTTTTGATTGTACACCAAAGGTCCAATATTTGCCCAAATGCGATGAAATTTGGCACTTGCAACCGAATTGAGTCTAGAAGGTTGTATGCCAAATTTGGTGAAGATCGGTTCAGATATAGCTATAGCTCCCATATATATTGTTCATCCGATTTGTTGTATTTGTTACCTACAGCCATAATATGCACTCCACAATAACGATATTCAGGGAAGTATATCAATTACAGCTCAGAAATATCTTTGCCAAATTTTATCGAGATCGGTTCAGATTTGGATATAGCTTCCATATATATCTTTATCTGATTTCAAATTAATTTTGCACCAATGGGCAATACAAGTCCGAATTTAAAATATACAAGTGCTTCGGCATATTTCGTCCTTTGAGCTTTAAATTATAATTATGCGTGTATGATTGAATTCTCGTAGCGTGTATGATTGAATTCTCCCATAAAAACTTTTAATTGTTATGCGGAGCTCTACTAAATTAGCAAAGTGGTGTAGGGTATCATAAAGTCGGTCCCGCCCGACTTTAAGACTTTCTTTACTGGTTGATTTGTTATTTTTTAAATAATATCAAAAAATATATCTACCTTATGTTCGTATATAGTTGATATAAATATACGGATGTACTGAAGGATATGCCCTCATTGGCTGAGAGTGTATTTCAATCGCAAAACCGACTGATTCTTTCTAATGATATAGAAGTTCATTGTATATTGTTTTAAATCAGATATTAGATATTACTACCATTTGCAAGTATTAACTCCCAAAGGGTTAATTTGCATAAATTCTGCTATTATATCTTTGCCTACAGGCTTTGAGGTTTTTAGGCTTTTTACAACAATATTCTAGAACAATAACTTTTCGAGATGTCAAAAAAGATAATGAACTTTTCTCATCTTTTATTTCTCATTTTACAGTAGTGGAAATTTATTTGACTGCCACGCGAGTTCTCCCAACAAAAGAAACGAAATAAAATCTTTAGTTTTATTGGCCCTCCAGACTATTTAAATAATTGCCATTATAAAACAAAAACGAAGAAAGAAACAGAAAACTTTAGATTAGGGCCCTGCAATTTATGACGTAACAAATTACTCAGCAAATTTTCACCCGCGGAGATTATATCTGAAATACAGATATAAATGGCGAACGCCACACGCTGTGGCCTTATCACAGTTGGATTACTCTAGGAACAAGACCCTATCTCAATTTTTCTTAACGTTTTGCTATATTTGAAGCGGAAATATGTGTGAAAATAATGTATGGCAAGCCCCGAAATGGCTTACCAATGAATATCTGCAAGAAGTCCTCAAGGATTATCTCAAGGATCAGACAGTGCAAATAACAAAAGTGGATATACGACCCGCCACGGCAAATGGTGAAAATTATGCCAGTGTTATGAGCCGCATAAAGATCTCATTTTCAAGGGAAGGAAATGCCGAAACCGAAACTCTTTCATTTATTATGAAATATTCCTATGAAAATGATCCGGTTGTGTCGAAAATCATGTCGGGTTATGATATCTACAATACCGAAATGAAAATGTATGAACAAATTTTGCCACAATTGGCGGAGGTGCTTAAGGAATCGGGAGATATGGAAAAGCTGTTTGCCCAAACCCTGAAAGTGGATTATGAGCGTTCGACAATCATTTTTGAAGATCTAACTGTGGAGGGTTATGAAATGGCAGATCGTACACGGGGTTTAGATCTTCCCCACATCAGGATGTCTATGAAGAAATTGGCCAAGTTCCATGCAGCTGCTGCGGTTTTAAACGAACGTCAGGGTGGACTATTGGAGCAATTTGACCATGGCATGTTTAATCGCCACACCAAAGGATTTTGTTGTGTTTTTGAATATTTGACCCAAGAGGCGGCCCATTTTGCCAAAAATTGCCCAGAATTGGGTGAATATTATGCGGATAAGTTAGACAAATTAACTTCTAAAATTGTGGAATATTGCACCAAGGCCTATGCACCAAATCCTTGGAATTTCTATAGCCTAAATCATGGTGATTTGTGGACCAATAACATAATGATGTTATATGAAAAGTGCGAGGGTGGGAAGGAGAAATCCCTAAAGGATATTATGTTAATTGATTTCCAACTGTGTAATTGGTCTTCGGTGGCTGTGGATATACATTATCTGTTTAATACTTCATTACAATCTGATTTACTGGTGGACATTGAGGTGCAGGAGAAATTGATACAGTATTATCATGGGATTTTGAGTGAAACTCTGAGGAAATTGAAATATAAAGGACACATACCCAGCCTGCATGAAATCTTTGTACAATGGGAGGAGAGTCGAATTTTGGGTAAGTACAAGAAATATTTGATGAGTTCTTAATTCATCATCCTTTTGTTCTCTTTCCAGCTGTTAATGGTCTCTTGGCCCATCGTTCCATTATGACAACGAATAATAGTGAAGATGCCGATATCCATAGCCTCTTGGATGATGATGAAAGGGCTAGGAAATTCCGTCGCACCTGTTTTTCTGGGAATAAAGAATATCAAAATGTCCTTAAGAAGTTATTGCCATTATTTGATCGCCGGGGGTTATTAGATTTACAAAAATAAATTTAAACCTTAGAGTAGTTTAGATCTTAGCTAGAAAAAATTATAGAAAATTATTGAAATAAAATTAAGTGAACCAGGTTGAGAAAGTTTTTGAATAAAAAACACCTAAAAATATTTAAAAAAAAAATCACGTTTTCTTAAGCATGAATTATAATAAATTCTTCAAAATTCCCGACTTTTGACAGGAAAAAATAATATTCGAAATCCCTTATCATACAAATGAACAACGCACAACGCTCTTCTTCTGTTCCATTGTGTTCAGCAACGAAGTCCATTTTTGGTTCAATGGGTACACAAATAAGAAGAAAGTTCGAATTTGGAGTGAAGATTTTTAGAAGTATTGCAAAAATCTATCATTGCATCCAGAAAAAGTCAAAGTGTGGCGCGATCTTTGGGTTGTTGGCATCATTTGACCGTATTTCTTTAAATATGCTAGGAATCGTAACGGAGATGATATCCAACCAACTTGCCGAAAATACAAGAGCTTGACTTGCATGGCATGTGGTTTCAATAGGGCGGTGCGACATGCCACGCAGCGCGCGAACTCATATTAAAATTTGCCAACATTGGACTTAATAATGAGTAAGACGTTTAGGGGTAAAAAAGTGGTTGGCACATGTATTTGGATTTTTATGAGAGTTATTAGTTTTCATCAGCAAAATTGTGGGGACAAGTTGCCCCCTTTACGAAATTTTAGGAAATTTGAGATTAAGATTCATTTGAATCCATTCCCTTTTTTATACCCTCAACCATATGACTAGAAACGGTATATATCATTTGATACGGCTAAAACGTGCCTCATCGAAATAACGGTTTTAGACCCTAGTCCCGTTTGTCTGTCTGTCTGTTCGTGCGCACGATAACTCTCGAAGGGAGTATTCGATTTGATCCAAACTTGGTACATCTTAATATTATTTTCAAAGTTAGATCGAGTTCGAAGATGGGCAATATCGGTCTACTCCTTCTGGTACCTCCCACACAAAATGTCAACATTTTCAAAGAAAGTAATTTACTGGACAGAAAGAGAAAGAATTATCCGATTTTTCTCCAATTTTGCGAATCGTAATATTTACATTAGAAGTTAGGTCAGGTACAAATATGGACAGTATCGGTTCACTCCATCAAGTATCTCCCCCCAAAGTGTCAAAATTTTGAATAATTAAAACTTTAGTAAAATGTGATGCAAGAATCAATTGTCTTCAAATTACACACATCACAATATATTTATTAATGGAATATATCGATCCACTCCTTCTGGTATCTTCACAACAAAGGGTCAACATTTTGAATACCTATAAAGCTCATAAGACCCGAAATTAACATCCGATTTCATTCAGACTTGCCACATCTCAATATTTCCATCAAAACAAGATCGGTTATAAAGATTGTAAACATCGGACCATTTCTTCCGGGACCCCCCCCCCCCCCCCCCCCCCCCCCTTAAAGGGTCAAAGTTTCGAATAACCAAAACTATTATTAAATCCGAAATAAGAATCCGGTTCTCTTCATAGTTCATGCATCCCATTATTTTTACTAACACCGGATCTGCTGTGAAGATGAGATATATCGGATCATTTCTTCTGTTACCTCCACCTCAAAGGTCAAAATTTAAAATAACCAAAACAAATTTCACACATTCAAACATTTTTGCTAACGCAAAATCTGTTGTTGTGAAGATGATAGATATCTGCCAAACAGATATCTACAAAAGATCAAAATTTTGAATAAGGATATATGGACATGATAGACATTTTTTGTCATAGAAATTAGTACCCATTACGAACTCCAAATGCCAATTTTGAAAAAATAGGTAAAAAGTGGGACAAAAATCATCCAAATACCGAATATCTAAAGGTATTGTACAGTTATATGGGGACTGTACAAAAACTTGGGCCAATAAGGACAGTTCTATGCAAGGATGTTGCCCACATACTCGGAACACAAACTGATCTTTTACAGTAAATTCTGCCAATTAAAACCAACCAAAACACCTTAAATCTGGTGGCTATACCTAAACTTTTTCAATACCAAAAAATCTGTGGACCTTAAATACTTCTGAGTAAAATTTCATCAACCCACTTCGTTCCGTTCGGAAGCTAAATTCATTTTCACCGACAGAAAAATGGGCATCGCTTAGTGGACATAAAATCGTAAGCTTATCATGGGTCTTATTATGGCGAGAGAACATGCTCGATTACGACTGAATTTTACTCTAACTTGAAAGCAAGGGAAACGTACTCGCTCTTATTCGAGTGACATCGAAAAATGATGTATGCTTGATGTTTGGTTTACTCCCATTCAAATTCAATCGAGTTTCACTTTCTACTTGAATTCTAGCGAGCATTTCGGAAGTGTGTAGAGTCTCATACCGAAGGTGCTGAAGATTCGAAATCCAATAACGAAATCTAAAAGTGTAAAAGGAAAATCGCGCTTATTGCTTACTGTTTGGTATAGGTTCAATGAATTGTAATCCACGATGTTTTAAGGCTAAGCTATATTTCTCCAAACTTAATCGTGTGAATTTATTATTCAAGGCCTTAAGGGACAGGAAGCTTTCTTGACAATATAAATTAGTATATTTCTCAGGCAGGGTTATACAAATACGCTCTATCTGAATACCTTTCTCAGTTCCATCAATTTTTCGTTTTCATTTAATTTCGATACAATTAGGTATCCATTGTTAAAAAATTTCAAAATTCGGAAGATTTTTTAGATTTTTGCGGCCACAATGGCTAAAACAAACCCCTGCTACGGTTGTTGTTTTTAGGAAAGTTTTGCAACAAATTATCATCATTAATTTCTTTGGAATTATCTATATTTTTTATGTATTTTCTACTAAGATGCATTAACTTAATTTCACTATAAAAAAACTTAAATTACAACAATAAATAAATTATTTTTGTAAATCCAATAAACCTAAACGATCAAATCGTGGAAGCCACGCCTTAATGACCGTTTGTAGTTCCTTGTTTTTAAAGCAGTTTCGTCTAAATCGCCAAGCTCTCTCATTATCGTCCATAAGACTGTGAATATCGGCATCTTCCGTTTCGTCGGTTGTCATAATTGGGCGATTTGAAAATATACCAGTCAAAGCTAAAAATGGAAATGAAGGGCAGGAAATTAGTAACAGATCATTAAGAAAATGTATATTTTCCAAAAACTTACCCAGTATCCGACTTTCCTCAAATTGCACCGTCAATTCATGTAGGCTGGGTATGTGACCTTCGTAATTTAATTTTCTCAACGTATCACATAAAACTGAATGATAATATTGCAGGAGTTTTTCTTGTGTTTCTCTATCCAAAAGTAAATCCGTTGACAAGGATGTGTTAAAGTAATAATGCAAATCCACAGTGGGTGAGGACCAATTGCATAGCTGGAAGTCAATAAACATTAACTCCTTCAATGACTGTTTCTTTTCCAACTCTTCCTCAATCGTTTCGTACAACATCATCATATTGTTGGTCCACAAATCTCCATGGCTGAGGGTGTAGAAATTTTGTGGCCTGGTGGCATAAGCTCTGACACCATAGTCAATTATGTGGCTGCATAGCTTCGACAATTTTTCGTAATAATATTCACCCAATTCCGGGCAATCCTTAACAAAGCGTGCTCCTTCTTCGAAGAGATACTCAAAGATACAGGCAAATCCCCTGGTATGGCGATTCATAATACCATGATCGAATTGTTCCAGTATGCCATTCTGACGTTCATTTAACACCGCCGCAGCTGCATGGAACTTGGCCAACTTTTTTATAACCATTTCAGCATGTGACCAATCCATACCCCGTTTGCGGTCAGCCATTTCAAAACCCGACATAGTTAAATCCTCAAATATGATGGCTGAACGTTCATAGTCCACCTTTAGGGTCTTGGCAAATAGTTGCTCTGTATCTCCCGACTCCTCTAAGATTTCTGCCAATTGGGGTAGAATTTTTTCGTACATTTTCATTTCCGTGTTGTAAACATCATAGCCCGCCATAATTTTTGCCACCACAGGATCATTTTCATAGGAATACTTCAGAATGAAGGATAATGTGCAAGGTTCAATTTGTGTGTTGCTGGTAAAGGTGAGCTTAATGCGACTCATGACACTGGCATAATTTTCACCATTGGCTGTGGCCGGTCGTATATCCACATTTGTTAGCAGAACAGAATCATCTTTGAGATATTCCTGAAGGACTATTTGCAAATAGTCATTGCTTAGCCACAAGGGAGCCTGCCAGGAGTTATTTTCACACATTTTTTTTTTAATTCTGTTTGTTTTCCGAGTATTCTATGAGCAATTCCCCAAACGCGTGCCGTTTTTAATATACAAGTGTTCGCTTTGCCATTATCCGACTACTATTTATATGCTGAATAGCTTTTTTTTTGGCAAAATGAAAGGTGTATCTGTTTAACCGTCTACAAACATTGCTAATCTAAATTGTTTTATTCGTTTGGGGGTCTTTAGCGATGACAGCCAAAAATCTGTGAAATCAAATCACCCCAACAATTTTGGCAGTTTATCTATTTTAGATATCTGTTGCCATAATGTCTCAGATAATTTTATGGAGATACGGGAACCAGGTAGTAAAAAGAGTTAAAATATAACACATCTGCTACTTTTTCATATTTTGGCACTTAAATATAAAATTTCAGAATAATAGTAGATCTTCCCACCAATTTTAACCCGCAATCTGCCTATATCTTAAACCACAGACACAAACAGTGATATCTACGTAAAATTTTAGGATTTTAGACCCATTCCTTCACTCAATTCCAATATTAGTACAATTTAGACAATTATAGTAGTCATTTTCAAAAACACCTCCATATCTCAATTGTAAATACCAACAGAGGCATTAATACCAAATTTCAGAATTCTATCTCTATCCCTTCACTCAATACCAAATTTAGTACCATTTGGTAAGTTTCTCACAAATATAGGACAAATTTCCAAACCACCTCTAAAATTTAAACACAGATACCATCAGTAACACAAATATCAAATTTCAGAATTTTGTCTCTATCTCTTCACCCAATACCAAAGGTAGTACCATTCAGTACTTTTCGTACATATATAGGACCCATTTCCAAACCAACACTAAAATTTCAAACACAGATACCATCAGTAATCCAAATATCAATTTTCCGAAATGTTATCTCTATACCTTCACCCAATGCAGTACTATTCAGTACTTCTGGTACAATTATTTTATATATCCAAAACCGAATTGTACCAAATATATTACGATTTAGTACTTTTTGTGTACACATTTCTACGACCACCTCTATATCGCAAACCCACCACCAACAGGGAACCCAATACAGGGACCCATCTTCATTCGTTCACCTTAAATCAAAATGTTTCAAATTTAGGACTATTTAGTACAGTTAGTACATATTTCCAAATCACCTTCTTATATCAAACTAACTTCCCAACCTTTTTTGTCGTACCAAAATTTCAATTCGTTCACATAAAACCAAATGGTGCCATTTTGAAAGTTTAGTACAATTTTAGAACTTTTCGTAACCTTAAAATTCGGACTCTCATTCCAATTTTTAGAATTCTACTTCATTCCGTTTGTCCAACAAACAGTATTAAATTTTTAGTACATTTTAGTATATTTCGTTCCCTTTTGGTACGAGTTTCCAAAAAACAAGCCTACACACCAATACTGGCCCTCGTGCATCAATTCTAGCTTCTGCTGTTTCATCTGGGCATTGATTCTAGATCAGTCAGTCAGTTATTACATTAAAAGTTTTGGTTACAAAATCCTCCACATATTCCTCCAGACATCAGATTCATTGAAAAATATTTCTTAAAAAATCCGCGAATAAATGTCTTAGGATCCTTGAACCAATTATTTTTTAAAAATCGAATTTAGCTCTTCAAGGTAATGGTACTACTAGTCCTTGAAAAATATTTTTAAAAATTAATCATTATAGCCCTCGGAGCCTTTACAAAATTTCCATAAATTATCGTTGCTAAAAATGTCCACTATAGCTTACAAAGCTCTGATGACCCTTAAAACAAACTTACGATTGTTGCTCTCTTGGTTCTTAAAAATATTCTTAAAACATCGACTATTTAAGCTCGACTATCTAAGCCCTTATCAACTATTATTTAAAAGTCCATTAAAAGTTTCTATAAAAAGTCAGGACCCAAGGCTATAGCTCTTAGAAGCCCTGTTTCTTAAAATTATGCTAAAAAAATTTACGTTTTTAGCTTTTTGAGTCCTTGAAGAATTGTTTTTCAAAATCCACTTTTCAGCTCTTAGAGTCCTTGAGAAAATATTTTTTTTTTTTAAATCCACGTACCTAGCTCTGGGAGTCCCTCGCAAATATTCTTTAAATTTCCACGTTCAAAGCTCTTGGAGTCCTTGAAAAAATATTCTTTAAAATCCACGTTCAAAGCTCTTAGAGTCCTTGAAAAAATATTCTTTAAAAATCCACGTTCAAAGTCTTAGAGTCCTTGAAAAAATATTCTTTAAAAATCCACGTTCAAAGCTCTTAGAGTCCTTGAAAAAATATTCTTTAAAATCCACGTTCAAAGCTCTTAGAGTCCTTGAAAAAATATTCTTTAAAAATCCACGTTCAAAGTCTTAGAGTCCTTGAAAAAATATTCTTTAAAAATCCACGTTCAAAGCTCTTAGAGTCCTTGAAAAAATATTCTTTAAAAATCCACGTTCAAAGCTCTTAGAGTCCTTGAAAAAATATTCTTTAAAAATCCACGTTCAAAGCTCTTAGAGTCCTTGAAAAAATATTCTTTAAAAATCCACGTTCAAAGCTCTTAGAGTCCTTGAAAAAATATTCTTTAAAAATCCACGTTCAAAGCTCTTAGAGTCCTTGAAAAAATATTCTTTAAAAATCCACGTTCAAAGCTCTTAGAGTCCTTGAAAAAATATTCTTTAAAAATCCACGTTCAAAGCTCTTAGAGTCCTTGAAAAAATATTCTTTAAAAATCCACGTTCAAAGCTCTTAGAGTCCTTGAAAAATACCTCAATTGGTCCTTGAAAAAATATTCTATAAAAATCCTCTATAGGTCCTTGAAAAAATGCTTAATGTATTTTAAATGTCACTTAGATACCGACATGATCATGACTTGCATAAATGATTTTTATAACATCCATTCTGCAGGAGGTTATTAAATGTGAATTTTCAGACAAAGAACATTGATATATGTTTATACTACTGTAACTAATTATAAAGATAAAAAGATCTATCTTCCGTACAATAATAGCTTGGAGATGTACAACAACTTAATTAAGAGATAACATTATCTGGGAATAATATAACATTATTTTATATGGTCTCGTGCCACTGTGTCATGTCATAGATAAGATATACATATTTAGATGGTAACCAAAATACGCAACATATTTTATAGAAGTGCGACCTCATGTCAATTTTGACATGTATAATTTTAGTTTATATAGAAATTCGCATGCTCAGTGGTTCCCAATCCATATTTTCGGAAATTTCAATCACATTTTATTTTGCCATTTGTGTTGCATACAGTTTCGTAAAATGTATCTCCATTTACTCCAACATATCCAAATATCCCAAACGATCAAACTGTGGCAGCATAACTTTCACAATACTCTGCACCCTCTTATTTTCATACAAAACTTTGCGAAATCGTCGAGATTTCTCATTATCCACCAGGAGACATTCAAAATCGGCATCTTCCGTCTGATCATTGGTCAGTAGGGGGAGATTCACCAACAAAGTTGCAACGGCTAGAAAAAGATACATTTGATTTCAGTATATCCCGAACAATCCCGATTCCAATTTGTCTTACCCAAAAATCCTCGATCCAGCAATTGAACTTTCAATTCATGCAGGGTGGGTATATGTTGTTGATATCCCAATTTTCTTAAAGTTTCCGACAATACTTCATGATAATACTGCACAAGATGGTCTTGCCTGTGGAAAAGTAAATCATCCGCCAAGGAGGTATTGAAAAAATAATGCAAATCCACTGCCGGTGATGTCCAATTACAGTATTGAAAATCAATGAGCAAAATATCCTTAAGTTCCCTTTCCACATCGCCATAGCACATCATGAAATTATTTGTCCAAATATCACCATGATTTAGGGTGAAAAAGTGTCCCTCTTTCCAGTCATAACACCGGGTGGCATTCTCCACCACATGGGGTATCCGACGCAATAACTTATCCTTATAGTATCCACCCAACTCGGCGCATGTCTCGCAAAACTCAGCACACACCTTGGTGACAGCCTCGAAAAATCCTCCAAATGCATTTACATGGCGATTGAATATTCCACGTTGATAGACTTCCAAAGAACCCCCTAGGCGTTCATTTAACACCGCTGCCGAGGCATGGAATTTGGCCAGTTTTCTCAAACACAAACGCATGTGGTCCTCATCCAAACCCACCAATCGATTGGCCATGCCAAAACCCTTCACCGCCAGATCCTCGAAGAAAATCGTTTTCTTGCCATAATCCACATAGAGGGTCCTTGCAAACAACTGATCCTCATCTCCAATATCCCAAAGGGATTTTTGCATCTGAGGCAATACCTTTTCGTACATTTGCATTTCGGTATTCAGGACATCGTATTGCTCCAAAACACTGGCCAAAAAACCATTATTTTCAAATGTGGTTTTATACAAAAATGATATTTCACAAACATCTTTGCTATGAGAGGTGGTGTAACGGGCTCGCACCCGATTTATAACACTTGAGAAGCTTTCCCCTTTCGCTGTGGCCGGTTTCACATCCAAACTTTGTAATTTTATTTGATTTTCATTTAAATATGTTTTTAATATTTTTTCCACGTAACTGTCGCTTAACCACTCCGGTCGTTCATTTTCTTCCGATACACCGCTCATTGCTGCGTTGGCTTCGCAAATGGGTTTACAACTATTTTGAACTGAAATAACTAAACAATTGAGCAGTAATCTAGCGCGACGCTTTTTTTTATTCCAATTAAGATAGAGAATTTCAAGTGCAATGCAATGTGTACTCTACAATCGGAGGGTATAAAATGGTTCATTCATTGGAAGCTATTGCCAAATATGGAAGAACTTATTATGGAACCTTCGTGCAAAAAGGATTTTCTATGAACCGAGGTCTATGGAGCGTCTTTAATCTACGGATACCCACCAGACACCTTCTATCAGTAGTGGACCCTCAAAATCCTTGAACCCATATTCTATAACTGGATAAATGGAAGAGCTACAAAATAAAAAATATGAATAGAATGTTTTCTATCAATCCTTTGCTAAAAAAATATTCTTAAAAATCCACCATATTAGTTCCGAGAGTCCTTGAGAAATATTCCCAAACAAATTCTCGATTATAACTTTGTTGTTCCTTTAAGTCCCGTTGGTCCTTAAATACTCACAGCTCTGTTATTATATAAACATTCAGGAATGAAAAAGGGCCAGGGTTTTTGTGAACTTCTTCCCAAAAAATGCAAGATTATGTCCTGTAGGTCCTTAAAAAATTTTTCTTAAATAGGAAATTATGGTATCCAAAATTATGGTTAAATTTAGTCTTTAAAATAAATAATCTTAAATCCTTAAATAGGGCTCCATTGGTCCTTAAAAACAATATTCTTAAAAATCCAAAAATGGTCTATGAAAAAAATCCTCGATTATGGTCTCTGGAAAAATATGATGGGATCTTAAGTTCCTTCGAATGTATTTTTAAAAATCCACGATAAGGGGCTCGAAAGGGGGCTCCTTGAAAAATCCACAGTTATGTAGTGTCCTCTGAGAGTTCCAAAAATATATTTTTAAAAATGAGTATGGGGTCTGAGAATCCTTGAAAAAATGCGTTTTTTTAATCCAAGATTATGGGCTCCGTGTGTCTTTGAGAAATATTTTTTTTAATCCACGATTATGGGGTCTGAGCGATGCTTGAAAAAAATATGTTTTAAAAATCCACGATTATGGTTTCTGTGGGTCCTTGAAAAATATTTTTTAAAAATCCACCATTATTGCTTCTGTGGGTCCTTAAAAAAGTATTTCTTAAAAATTCACGATTATGGGCTCCGTGTGTCCTTGAGATTTTTAAATCCACGAGCTTGGGTTTTGTGGTTCTTAAAAAAATATGTCTAAAAATCCTCGATTATGATTCTATGGGTCCATAGAAATATTTTTAAAAATCCATAAATGTAGGTTCAACGGCTGCTTGAAAATATATTTTTAAAAATCTTCAATTATGGACCCTGTGGCTCCTTCAAAAAGTATTTTTTAAAAATCAAAGATTATGTGCTCCGTGTATCCATGAGAAATATATATTATTTTGTTAAATATGTCTAAAAATCCTCGATTATTGGATCTACGGGTCCTTCAAAAAATATTTGTAATAAAAATCCATAATTCTAGGTTCTGCTTGAAAATATATTTTTAAGATAATATATTTTTGAGAAATATATTCTTTTTAAATCCACGGTCTGAGCGACCTTGATTTTTTCTTTTTTAAATCCACGATTAAGTTGTCTGATAGTCCTTGAAAAAATATTTTTTTTTTTTTAAATCTACAGGTGTAAGCTTAAATACTTGAAAATATATTTCAAAATCCACGATTATGGACTCTGTGGGTCCTGGAAGAAAAATATATATTTTTTAATCCATAATTATGGGGTCTGAGGGCCCTTGAAAAAATATTTTTTTTTTTTTAATATTTTTTTTTGAATATTTATTTATAAAAATCCACGATTATGGACTCTTAAAATGCACCTTGAAATTCATTCCCTGAAATTCACAAATATGCTCTGTAGAACATTGATTTTTAAAATCCACGATTTTTTAAAAATCCACGATTATGGCTCTGTTGGGTCTTGAAAAAATGTATTTAAAAATCTACGACAATGGACTCTGTGGATCCTTAAAAAAATTTATACTCCCATTGTAGGCTTAGAGAATCCTTAATATTTTTTTTGCCTCTATAAGTTTAAGGATCCTTGGGAAAAATCTATTTTTTTAAAAATCACGAGCTTAAAGGGTTCTTGGAAAAAATATTTTTATAAAACCCCAAAAATACGTTTTATGTGCTCCTTCAATTTTTTTGAAATCCTCGTTTAAAGCTCTATTGGGTCTAAAAAAAATATATTTTTTAAATCCATGATGATGGCTATTGTAGATTCCATAAAAACTACAGAAATCTTGTCAAAGGTCATCGTGTCATAGTAGACGTACGAGGTCTTTCAAACATGAAATACGAATGGAGGTATTTTATCTGTAAAATCTATCTATCTATATAAGACCTCTAGAAGGTCTTATATTTATGGAATATATCCTTCCTTCCTTTATCCTTAATCTAAAGAAGGCCTCTGAAAGGCATTCTATTCCTAGAACTCCGCTAAAGGGTTTCGACACGTATAAAAGCCCCGGAAGAATCTCCCATCTTTGAAAAACCCCAGAAAATTCTTCTCTCTATAAAAGGGATTTTGAATAGGACTTTTATCTAGAAAGTACCTTGAAAGGCTTTCCATAAAAAAAAACAGATTTGCAAAATTTCCTACCAAATAATTCATAAAAGTTTCTTAATATATGAGTTACAAACCTTAAAATATACTGAGTATATTGTCCTCACATGGTAGGGACTATAGAAATCTAATCAGTGCCAAGTGGCCTCTCATGTTATGATGAAATTCACGGCCAGCCGTTTGATCGGTGTTACTTGTTTAGTTGTAGGATATTCCCACCCCCATTGGTATATATTTTTGGAGTCTATATCCAAAAGTTGAACGACTTCTGCAGAGCGCGGAATTTCATAGCTACACCAATGGTGTGATTTGTAACAATGTAAACAACTGTTTTCGGTAATTAGAATATCTGTAATAATATACAAATCTGCTATATATTTTAGTTCGATTTTAGGAAATGTCTGCAAATTCCTACATGTAAAAATAAAATCTGTTGTGGGTCCACCGAAACACTATATTTGTTTGGACTAATTAAAATTTTAGAGTTTTATTGTCATTCTACTTCAATAAAACAATTTTTGATCATCATTTCAAAATCTACAGCTTTAATCCAGAAAACACGCTTATATATCACAGACAAATTTTCTATCGTAAAATACTTCACAATAAAAATTTCGCAAGACATTTAAAACTATTTTTGTCACAGTTTTCATCTTTATCTTTTTTCCCAAATTTAATTTAGGTTATAAAAATGTCTCGGAATATGCTAGATAAATTTTACAGATTTTTATTACTTTTAATGTAAAGTAAATGTTTGATATAGATATAAAAATTGTTTTATGGGTATACCATTAAATGAATTTTCACTCAATCAAATCAGTTCAATGTGTTCAATTACTAATTATAGAATTAAATACAAAAGCGCCCTCTAACGTAGAATAGTGATAACATTATTTAGTTGATTCAACCACTTTTGTACAATGTTTACACTCCAAATTTAAAATCCAACATGGGGAGACATTTCGTTGTTGCTGTGTTTCGCCAGATGGCGCATATTATATCTCCACAGCAAAACATAGCGCTACGTTTACATTGTTGCTTCCTACCGTGTAATAATCGATCAATTACGACCTATTAATGACGGTGTTCAATCATTTTACATCAAGAAAATTATAATGCAATACTGTGCCGGGTTAAGGGGGCCATATTTCTTTAAGTTACAACAAAATTCAATTCAACGTATAAGGAATTGATCAGAAATAGTCCCTGAGCCCCTATATACAATACTTTTTCCAAATTGATTGAGCCATATTATATTATTATATGGATTTTCCTATCTCGCCGAGCTGAGTCGATCTAGCTATGTAAGACCGTCCACCCGTCTGTCCATATTAATTTGCAATCAATCTACAGGTTGCAATTATGACCCGATCCTCAGGAAATTGAAAATGGAAGTGGTCTTAGGGTCAGAAAAGAACCTTATTGTTTTTGAAGACGATTGCAAAATATTTAGGGGTTGAAATTGACCAAAAGCAGAAAATTTTCCTGATTTTGCAGTTGTTCTATAGGCCACAATATTTAGCTGGTAAAATTGACCCTAACTTTTTTACAGGAAAAGACGAAAATTTTCACTAAACCGCGAATATTTTTATTCCTGGCTAAATCACAAATGCACAAAAATATCACTTCTGACCGTTACAGATATAGCATATATAGCAAAATATATTTAATATCATATCAATCACATATAATTCAAGAACGGCTGGACGGATTGCGATAATTATCACAAATTTGAAATGAATTCTTTGAAAATCGTGTGAAAAAGTGATTTTTTTTTATTTTAATTTTTTTGTCATAATTTTCGTCGCATGAGATTTTTTTATATTTGATTTTCAGTATTGATTTTTTTCATCTTCCAATACTATGATTTAGGAGTATTATATTCAAGTCGCAATTATCGTCCTATTCTCAAGAAATGTAGCATGGGGATAGAATGAGGGTCAGAATTGAAGCCTATTGTTATGGAGATCTACAACTAGGTGTTCTAATGGACAAAAAAAAATAAAATTTGTCTGATTTTGCTGTCGTTCTACGGCTCACAATTGAAAACCAATCGGCACGGAATTTTGCATGAGGAGAGAGTTAAGGATAGGGAAGAAGTCGAGCATTTTGGATAACCATTGGATGATATTTAGCTGTAAAATGGAACACAATTTTTTTTTTTTTTTTTTTTTTTGAAATAAATAAAAACGGCCGAGCGCGTAAATATGGGTAACATGGGATTATATCAAAAACGATAAATCGTTTTTCGTTATTACAAGTTTCATTTAAATATGAACTGTCCGATAAGCAAAAGGTCAGACCATCTTCCCTTTATCTTTTAACATAATGCTAGGAACACAATTGGAGCGAACGACGAATTTTTTCGCGGCGTATGTTCGTCGTCAAAAATAAAACACATATGTGTATATGGAAGTGCACACAATCACGGCACCGGCGAAAATTTCGTCGGTCGCCGCGAACTCAATTAGCTTTATTTCTATTTCATACGCCGGCGACCGGCGAACAAAACAGTACAAGGTGGCCATACTTGTACGAATTTTATGTGTTTTAGTAAATAAAGTTACTTTTTACTTTAAAATTTGTTATGGTCACTCTACTATCTGTTACTCGTATAAAAAAAACATAATTAATTTGTTTATTTATTTGTGTACTTGCGCCTGAGTGAAGATGGATATCAGTGAATTTATAATAGAGAAGATGGACATAAGTGAAATTATAATAGAGAACGTAAAGAATTATGTGTTCTTGTATAATTCATTGTAGTCAACAAATGAGCAAAAAGTAAACAACTTCATCAGCTGTTTTATAATTTCGTCGGTATTGTGTTCCATACGACGAATTTTCGCGGCTCATTTTGTCGCCGCGTAGGGCGAAATTCGTCGTTCGCTCCAATTGTGTTCCTAGCATAAAGTTTACTGAATTCATGTTGCCATATTTTTTATTGATAATATGACAATTTTTATTTAAATAAAAAAATGTATAATCCAAATCGTTTATTTTATATTGAAGAACTGAATTATAAATTTATTTCACGAAATTAATTACGAATTCTCGTTTTGTTTATTATTTTTAAACTAAAATGAAGATGCCTTTGTGAAACAAGTTAAAAAGCAGTAAGTTCGGCAGGGCCGAACTTTGAATACCCTCCACCATTTGCAACGAATTTGAAAATATTCAAAAATTAAAATCTATTAAAAATTCTGTTAAAATATTAAAAATACCGAATATATCCGTTATATTGGGGTCTATACGAAGTGGACCTTAATAGGCATTGGTTGTTATTAGCCATTACCTTATTAAAAACGGTGAATAATGTAGCATCATCAAAATACCGTATATAGGGAGGTACCGTTATATCGGAGCTATACGAAGACCTGGACCTGCATAGACAATTTTCTGTCACAGACTGTAGTTCCCATTACGAACTCTAAATAAGTAATTTGAAACTACTCCGGTGAATAGTGACGCTAAAATTATCAAAATACCGAATATAGGGAGGTACCGTTATATGGGGGCTATACGAAGACGTGGACCTGCACAGACAGTTTTCTGTCACAAGCTGTAGTATCTATTTCGAATTTCAAATACCAAATTTGAAACAATTCCGGTGAATAATGTCGCTAAAATCATCAAAATATCGGGAGGTACCGTTATATGGGGGCTATAGGAAAACGTGGACCTACATGAGCCATAAACTTAACCTGCCTACTGGCCAAATAAACATGTGTGCAAAATTTTAGCCTTCTGTCTCTTTTCGTTCGAAAGATAGCGTGATTACAACAGACAGACGAACGGTATTTCGAGGAGTTACAAACGGAATGACAAAGTTAATATACCCTCCATAGAAAGGGTATAAAAATGCAGTGAATACCAGTTACTTTTAAAAAAGCTTGCCATATCTCTGTAAAACATGCATATATTTTAAAGGAAAGATGTAATAATGAGAACCCGATGTTGTGAACTTTATATTTCACCATGGTAGAACTAAGAAGGTAAAGTCATGTAATCATATGTTTACATTTTTTTTTTCAAATTTATACATTTGACAACATTTCATTGTCAAAATCTATATACACAAATCCATTGTATACACACAAAATCAGAGATGGAAACTGTTTTTATGCATTGAAATTTGACAAGGTAAGTTACAGAAAATGCATGGCTGGGAATGCTAATTTGAAATGAGGTCACCTTTATTTCATTGTACCATGTATTTCACTGTTCCTAAATTAAGGGATAACAAAAGTGGACTATAAAGGAAAGATATAAGAACGGGCCATAGTCTTTTTTTTCTATTTTAGGCCTACCACGAGCCATCAATACCGCTGTTTCAGAATTTTTAAGAATGTACTATTCTACAATTTTTTCTCGAAACCCATTGCGTTAACCGATTAACTTTTAAGTTAATTAGACTAGTAGGTTAAATATCTTAAGTTTACTTCTCCACAAGGGGAGTAAATATATTTTGTTTATTTCTTTTATTTGGTTGCAATGATTTTGTTACGTTCCAATATTAATTTTTCTTACAGAGTGTAAAGTCACAAAATCCCAAATGGGAACATTTCATTCACCAATCAAATGGCAACGATGGGATCGTGTGCTTCGAATGCATGCACCGACCTGGCATCACTGCAATCAACAACACCTTTCAATTGTGGCTAATACTGAGAGAGCGCAATGCATTGGCAGCACTTTTCATATTCCCCTTTGCACTCTCTTTCTTCGATTAGGCCTCTCAATCAAACTTGTATGGTACCAATTTGGTTGTGCATGAAGCTTGTCGGTCAACGATGTTCACTACTACTCATTTAGATATTTACGGTCGGTGGCGTAGCAAGCAAAGTCGGATAAATTATACGAAAGAAGAAAGAGTTAATGTGTGTTAAGCAAAAAACAAGAGCAAAAAGTAAAGAAAATTGTTGCTAGTTTTTTTCTATTGTTACCATTGTTTCAAATCCACAAATAAATGAAATGCCAAATCTATTTTGCAACAAAGTGTGGCTAGCAACGACAACAACATCAACCAGAAAGCAATAAAGAAATCAAAGTTTTTTTATTTTAAACAAAAAAATCTAAAGTGCAATTAAGAAAACCCAAAGAAGTTACTGCAATCTAATTTCAACGAAGAAAAAATCGAAAAAAAAATTTCGCATACCTTTGCACTGAGACGACAACTGCGACGACGAACGAGAGAAGTTCCATCAAAAGCCGAAGTCAGTAACAACGGTGCGCGCCGTTGCGCAGGCCAAGTTAGCGAACCCAGGTTGTTATTTGGCAAACTGTGTGTCTCTTTGTGTATGAGTGTGTGTGCGTGCGTGTGAGAGCGCGAGTGGCTGTGCGTAATTTATTTGATATTTCTTCGGATCGGTGGTTTGTTGTGTTGTGTGCGAAACAAGGATAGAAAGTGTGTGAGTGACTAGAAGTTGAACAAAACAAAAGAGCAGCAACAAAACAAAGATCGGAATTCAAATGTGAGATTCGAATAAAACAACAACATCAACCAAGAAGAAGACGGCGACGATGCAACTTGTTTGAAGTAAAGAAAAATTAAGAAAAAAACATAGAAGGAAATACCGAAAGAGGAAATTGAAAAAAGAGTTAAGAAATAAAATTAATAATTTAAAAGTGTAAATTAAAAGTTGTACAAGTGTTCAATCTTATAAAAAGTGTTAATACTTCAAGAGTGAAAAATATTGACCACCTCTCATCGTCTCTTTATAAAAAGTATCTCCTCTCTACCACCATCAACATTCCATATTAATAATCAACCAACCCAAGCAACCGAGACTCATAACAAAGGCGACCGACCGGACCAGACAACAACCACGAGATTTTATAGATCACACAAAAACAACATCAATTCACAATTCAGGTAAAATATTTTTTATTGTTATTAAAAATCTTGGTGTTTATCGTTGTTGTAGTCGCCGTTCATTTGAATTCCAGGTAGCAATATTCATAATTCCATTGAAATGATAATCGAGAAGTAGAAGAAGAGGAACAACAACAATACCAACACCATTGTGTGTATAAATAACGACGTTTTTTGTTATTCTCGACCGGTCGTATCAACAACCATACCTTGATTAAGGGGGAGGGGTCGTTGGCCATTATTGTTCATATGGTTGATCCACATTAAACCTACGGGTGCTGGGGATTTTGTTTTGGTCTAAGGTATTGCCGGAATAAAATTTTTGGTAAAGCTTTTGGCTTAACTCTAGTTTAATTTTTTAATTTTTTCGAAATTTTTTCCAGTGGTATGTATTTTTACCCTGATCCCGGGAAAATATTTTCCCCTAAAAACCTTAAACCTACGGGTGCTGGGGATTTTGTTTTGATCTAAGGTATTGCCGGAATAAAATATACGGTATACCTATTTATTAAGAATCCAAGGTTTCATTGTCGGATAATCTTATAAAAATTTGTTATAAAGGTATTTTAAAAAAATCAAAATTTTGAAGAAAATCTTTGTATAAAATACGCCAAAAATGTTTTGATTTTCGTTGTGAATGCCTTGAAAATTTTTCTTAAAATATTGCCGGTTTTCGGACGAAAGTTCATGACAATATTTTCTTAAATATCCGTCCTTGACAAATTTTCTTAAAAGTCCACGAATTTTTTGTCAAGGACTTGTTAAAAAAATTTGTTAAGAAAAATGTTGGGCCTAACACTTGTTTAGTAAAAACTGTCGCATTTTTTTTTATTTTTTTTTTCAGTGGTAGGTATTTTCTTTCTTGGGGATATGCCTGGATAATTGACCCGGAAGACCCGGTATAACCCCGGGTTAGATCGCTATCTACTATACCGATATGAATAGGCAGCTTTTGAAAGCTAATGAAAATGCATGTCTAACAAGTGGTCACATGATGGGGTAATTTAAAACGGTTCCGGAAATACATCAAAATATTTTTTAGACAAATTTGACAAATAGTAGTTGACACTATAACCTTTCCAAAATTCTACGATCGTATCTTTCTTTGTTTCAGAGATATAGGTCTCTGAACCTGAAAGACCAGATTCTGTTCGAAGTATTGAAATGATTTCAGTATAAAAAACGTTACTTCGGTAGCTGGTGTTGGACATGCCCAGAAGATAATATTTCAAGCCCCGGTCGAAGGCGGACTACTTAAAAGAAGTCTCAAACTTCTAACCACGTAGAGGGTGTTGAACGTAGCCGGAGTAGAAAAACTCAAACCCTCGTCGAAGGCCGGCTAATTAAAACTGCATTACATTAAAAAAACTTTGATTCAGGAAGCCGCTGTCGAAGCCCCTGCTGGCTACCTAAATCATTATCAAATTTAGAAAAACTCCGTTTCGAATAATTTTACAGAATCGTGTTGTCCAGGTTCAAATACCCATATCTCTGGACCTAGGAAAGAGTGTAAGCTAAAAGATAGTTCACTTTTTATGAACCCTCATAATGGAGTCTATTTCGAGTTTTTGGAGTTTTAATTAAAAAATCGGGTCCAAGTACCGACAAGTTAGATATAATTGCCGAATCGTTTTCCCACTTGTTGGATATGTGACACCTTCTTAGAAAGGTATTTTCATTAGCTTTCAAATGAAAACCACCTGTCGGTCCTATCTGTTTAGTAGATCCGGGTGTTGGACCCAACCTTTCGGCTCAATTATCCAGCGGTCAGTCCGTCACCCCAAGAAAAAAATATTTTCCGGGAATCAGGGTACAAATACCAATCTCTAGGAAAACATTTTAAAAATAATCCGAGAGTTTTTAATAAACAAGAACATTTCCAAATTTTGTTTTTGATTGTCGAGGGAATTTTTGAATATTTTTCTTACCACAATTTTCGGTTGGCAAAATATTCTCAAAAAATCCAGGATTTATGTCCCAGTAGAACTTGTAAATACATCCTTTAAAATCCACGATATTTGTTCAGAAAATTATTGAGAAAATTTTCTCAAAATTCAACGTCTTACGAATGGCCTGGAAGTCCTTGAAAAATTATATTTAAAAAATCTACAATTCCTAGCAAGGGGGTCCTTGACAAATATATTTAAAAGAAATTCACATTTCCAAGCTGCGGTGTTGTTGTATACATATATACAAATACAAGATTCCTGACCACGAATTCTTAAAAAGAACAATTTCTACCAACGAATTAAAAAATTCGCAATTCCCGCAAATATATTTCAAAATCAACGGTTTTGAGTCAAGAAGCCCCAAATGAAAACTCTTTGAAAGTTTCTCGATATACAGTTGATTTATTTATTTTTTTTTTTTCAAGAAATCTTCGTTTTATGTCCGAAAAGTACTTGTAAGAATTTTTAAAAACAATCCTCGGTTTTGGTATCAAGCCGTCCTTGAAAATTGTATTCAATAGAAAACCACAATTTCTGGCCGGGAAGTCCTTGGAAAGGAATATAGAACATTCTGGGTACGGCTTTTTGATAGCTTTGATCTATTAATTGCTAATCTGAAAGCAGAACCGATTGTGAGACCTAAAAGGACATTCATAAATGGTTTTAATTTAATTTAACATCACCATTGTTCATTTTGAAGCATTATTAATTTAATTCTTTGATTTCTGAGTATAGATTGCCATGTTGGGCGCCACTCTTCTCAATGTTAAATTCTGTCATTATCAAGTATATTTAAATATAAGACTTGATTCTGAAAGATTGCTCCTTATGATTGGCAAAACTAAATTTTTATATGATGTCAACTCTTAGTAACACCTTGGCGCCCAACCAGGATCATTCTTATGTGACCCTGTTTTCATTTCCAAAATTTTATTCAGAAATCTAACTAAAGCCATAAAGGCGTCGTAATTTGAAACATTGCAGATAGTATAGGTGTATTGAAATGAGTGATTTTTTTAATATATTACCACATTGGGCGCCACTTTTGCTAATGTAAAATATCATCGTTATTGAGTACCAACGCAGGATTGCTTTTTAATATAGGTACATAGGTTAGGCTCAATGTTCTAGAAAAAATAACACAAGAATAAATTTCAAATGATGCAACCTCCAAATACCACGTTGGCGCCCAATGTGGATCACTTTTAAATAGGCACAGTTTTGATTCAAAAAATCTACTCTCAAGAAATATAAATGCTTTTAAAAATATCTTTAAGGATAAAATCAAAAATAATCCATATAGATCAGCTTCGCATGTGTATTTGAGGCTTACAAATTTCCTTGCTAGCTACCTGCAATTGCGTACTTGTCTCTCAATATCTTCGTCTCTCTAAAAAAATCCATTTAATCTCTCTCCTCGACTCAAAATAATGCCATTAATCTGAAAGACAACAATTTCTCATTACTGGGACAATACAAAGAAATAAATACCACTTTTTCCATTAAAACCACCAGCCAAGTAATCTGAGAGCCTGACTTTAAACCTCAACAATGGTCGATTGGCCAACAATGTGTTTTGTTTCTCTTTTATTATTATTTATTTATTTTGGGCCCGCATTTATCCTTTTTTTTTTACAAAACTACCCACAAAAGACCTGTCCGTGTATCCGGCTTAAATGACATGAATTATTACATAAAAGAATTCTACTAAAAAAGACATATTACAATGGTTAGGTGGGTCGATTATCCTTTTATGATAAAAAAACAACCCCTATTTTGTGGGTATAGGGAGAGATAGTTTTGGGTCTCCCCCGGCAGGTTAGCCATTGAGAAGTAAACCTCTGGTGTAATGGTTGAGTGGTCTTGGGTAATTTGGTCTCAACTGAAAAACCTTTTATTTTTTGTTCTCATACTCTGGCTATAGTGTCGCATTCTAAATGTTGCAATATCCAACCGCCAACACCACCTAGGCTTTGTTTTCTTTTTATGTTTCTCTGTTGTCCTCTATCCTCGATTTTCGTTCATTGTCATCACTGGGCTTTTTGAATGCATTTTTGTTGTTGTTCTTGTTTTTGTTTTCTCTTACATCGCCCAAGACCAGTGAATGAAAAGCCAAGGAACTTCAATAAAATGAACGTTAATTCAATTCGTAACGGCGGGATGTGGTTGCAACAAAAACAACAACATCAGACGAGCAATTTGTGTCGGTCGTTCTGGGGGGAAGTGGAGGAGGGAGAAAAGTGGTTACTGACTGCCTGGTTGACTGAATTCAAGTTGTAGAATTCATTAAAATGGGTGCGTCTGTCTTTCAAAGCACGTCATCTGCTGCGCCGTCGCACATTTGCGACATCAAGCAGCCAAGCAAGTCTGTCGTCTTTGTCTAAATGTTCTTTATTTTTAATTTTTATGTTTTGTTTTTATTTTTAGCCTTTGTTGATGTTGTTTTCTTTTTTTTCCCAATTGTTGTTGTCGTTGTGTGGCATAGGCTTCACGGATTCTTGCTCACCTTCAATTTATGATTTTCATAGGCTTTTGTGCACTTCAGCTCAAGCCACGGCCCTCTCGTGTAAGCCACAAGGCTTCGACGCACATTGCTTTGACTCACTTTTGTTAGGTACGTCCATTTGTCTGCCTCACCCATATTTTTTCCGCCACTACATCTTCTCCTACATTCTTCTACTCGTCATGACTACTATGACGTAGTACCATCGAACATACTTAACCTTTTATCCAATGCTTCTTCTGCTTCTTCCTACCCAAAACACCGCCATGGCATTCTTTGTCAATACCTGTTTTCCCATTTTCCTTCGATTCTATTCTTTACTTCTTTCATGTTTATGTTTTGTTTTCATGTTTCTGTTTTGTATTGCAACTCTTAATGAAAAGCCATAATGGAAAGGGTGCTGCTGCTGGTGCTGCCCAAGAGGTGGCAACGATGTAGTTGGCGGCGGCGTGTGACCCTTTTGATCAGTTGTTCTGCTGTTGATCTTTTGAATGATTCGTATGGATCGGTATGCAGCGTTGTTGATGTTGTGTGCACTTCCCGCCCCG